GCAATTTTCAGTTTTGTTTTGAAATTGTTTTGTTTACTCTATGCTAATTCAGTGACGTCCATCAGTATATTTTGTTTTTTTTTCGTATGATTGGTAATCGTCAAGGATTAGACACCAATCATAAGGGAAAAATGAAATGTGATATTCGTTCGGTGTCGTAAACAAAAGCAACATTATCATAAACAATTGTTAATGTAAAACTACAAACTTGTAATTTATGATTGCTAGTCAGGCAATAATTTGATCTTGCTTATTAATGCAATAAAGAAAAACAAAAAATTAATATTTTTCCGACATATAACTTATCACAATGAAGCTTGTCTGTGCTTTGTTTTTTTCCTATCATGACATTGAAGGTTTCAGGTTCGGTCAAATAATATCTAAGCATTGTTAATCATAACAAAAAATAAAATATAATCAAATTATCAAAAACAAAATAAATCATTTTAAATTTTTGAAAAAAGTTTCATGTTGATTGTTATTTGATTCATTAAGAAAAAATTATTTTTCAAAAGTGTTTACAAAAGAATGCAAAAAATTAATTAAAGAAAGACGACATATATGAAATAGGTTATTTTTTTACAAAGGCGAGGTACACATGACAAAACAATATGACATTTAGTCTCGTTTTTAATTACATTATTCACTAACCAGTATATAAGTCGTAGTTGTAAGCCATAGAAGCACACACATTTAGAAAATAAAACATAAGCAATCAGTATCAACTGAAATCAAAATGCCTGTTATAGCAAATAAAATCAATAGCATTTTGGCGCGTACAAATAAAATCAAATCACAGAAGCGAACATTTCGTCGTAAGTTTAATTTATTTTACTTTAATTTAATTCTTATTTATAAATTAAAATAAATAGAACCGCCAGCAAGTACAGAAATTCGATGTTATCCACTTCGCATTGGTCCTGGCGTTGAATTAATATCAGCAATACATGAATTAATGGAAGAGATTGGTGTACAATCATTATTTATTTTAAGTTGTGTTGGAAACTTATCACAATGTTCATTAAATTCACATCAATTAAATGAAAAATGTGATATTGTATCTTTAAGTGGAACATTTGATCAAGACTCTCATCACATAATGGGCTCATTTGCTGATTCTGAAACAGGTGCTTTAATTGGTGGCCGAATTCGTTGTCTTACTGTTCATAAAACATGTGAATTAATGTTAGCTGAACCACTTGATTGTACATTTTTTCGAGAATTCGATCCAAGAACCGGAGAAAATGAATTAAATGTTAGACGGAAACTTGTTACTGATTCATAAAAAACTTTTCTCTTTGCGTTTTTTGTACATAAATTCAATTGGTGAATATTCTTTTTTTTTTTCTTCTTAGGACAACAAAATATATAATATGATAGAGCTATTGATTTTAATTTTTTAGTACTAAAAACTAGAAGAGATTCTATTATAATTATTCGCGATTGAATTATGACAATTGATGGAAATTGTATCTTGAAAAAAGTTCAATAGATCGTCATTAATTTAAAATTTGACTCCGATTGGTTTTTTTTCCAGTAAACAAATATTTGTATGTTTTTTTTTAAATCGGCTTTTGATAAGTTAGCAAATACTTGATAATATTCGAAATCGCTTGACATTGTCTGAAATATATGACATTCAAACGTTTTTGCTTTGAAATTAGAATGAATCGTTAGAGGTTTGTAGATATTTGACCACATCTAGATCTCAGGATTCAAGACAGGGCATTTTGGAAAGTGTCTTCCAAAGATACCAAAAAAAAACCTTGAAAAGTCTTCCTACTTTTTATTGGACAATAATGAATCATTTATAATTTTGAGCAATGGTGAAAAAGTGCATGATATTATATTCAATGATTTTCTTTCCTATGATGATTCAAATCGTCTTTTGAGATCCAATCAGTGATTTTGGATGTATTATTTGTTCGATCCACATAACATCCATTCAATATCGTTTATGATATCATCGCAATGAATACTTCTATTTATCTTTCAAATATTTTCCCCTTTATCGACTAATAAAAATAGAAAGATGTACTGCAGAATATGCTGTATTTTTGTGTAGAACATCGAACACATTACCAACATTAATATCTACATCAGCAACAGATTTATCAGCTGAAGGTTTTTTATATTAAAAAAGACAGTGACTATATTTTTGCTTTTGATAATAGCATAAGTCGTGATACTTGATCCTCTTGCAATATCGTCACCTTTTATATAACGATCAATGCAAGAAAGTAATAAGTATGCGACATTTCAATCAGTTATTGTCGGATGAAAGTATTTGTCCTCGTATTTTAAGAAAAATACGTGGAACTTACACATATCAATTGAGACACATTGTTTCGGAATTACACTTTAGCACAAATAGAACTTTTATCAAAATGAAAGATCATCGATTTAAAATTAGTTGTCATTTGAATAGATCGAAAACATTTCAGATGATTCTACAAGCTTTTATTAAAATAGACAGTCATGTTCAAAGTATAAAATTTTTAAAATTTTCAGTCATATTTCAAAATAGATCTGATAGGTTGCTTGTTTAAGTTCAATATTCTGAGGCGACTCAGAGGAGCATCATCCTTTATGGATCTCATTCTTCATTTCGAAGAAACTCAGAATATGACACAAGATGATTTTTACAAGAATTCTATAGTCACTTCACTAACATACTCAAGAAAAAAGTTGAATTCACATCTTATATCCATCTAACTTGCTGGCAAAGGGTATCGTAATGATCCTACCAGTTTCTTAGTGTAGTCACCATTACAGACCACATTTTACATTTATGCATCACGTACAAATACAAAATAAATGCCTGTTTTCGTGGTTAAATACAAGTAAAAATACTTTTACTTGCTGTGCTTGTACTTGTCCTAGTTCAGATTCAGATTAATTATTACTTTTCTGTGCTATTTGATCACTCTTCAGCTATTATCAAAATAGAAAACTTTGATCAAAACTGTTTTTGTCTCAACCTTGACTATAAAATTAGATCATATTATCATCCACGTGTATTCTTTTTTTTGTTTTTCTTTGTTCTTCTTTTCTCTTTTGTTTCATTTTTATTCTCGTCTCTTATCATGTCTAGCTGTCCATACCTATTAGACTGTACAAAATAATAATGATGATAGAACAGAAAAGAAATATAGAAACAAGGTCAACACAATTTTATTTCATCAAATGTTCAAAATAATCACCTTAGTTATTGAAACACGACTGCAATCGTTGAATTCATTTATCGAAGTTTTTCTCATGAACTTAGTCACAGCACCATACAATTAATCAGTGTCGTATTCATTTCTTAGACTCTGCTTCATAAAATCGCACAGCTAAACATCATATGGTACAATATAAGAAGAATTAGGTGGATGTGGTATTGTAAATTTACCGCATCGAACCACAGTTAGTGAAAGATCTCCTCTTTCCACGTACGCAGCATTTATTGATTTTCGACCAGTTTGTTTATGATAAAATCACGACTCGTCATCTGTCACTATATCACATAAGCACCATGTTGCTTCTTCAAAGTTCGTTAATAGTGTCTGCATATGTGATCTCGTTCAGTCCATTGAAAATTGGTCAGATGCTTGGGTATATCACGAGCGGTTATTTTCATAAGCTTGAAATAATTGAAGATGATTCACTGAATGGTGCCGTAACTTAGATCGATTTGCTCTTGCATTTCCTCTTGTTTAACATACCGAGCAGTGTTAAAGTTTAACCTAACTTTATTTTTTTTGATTTTCCAGAAAATACACGAATAAACTGCACATACACACAAAAGAGAAAAGAAGAACAAGGAAAAAAAAAGAATATACATGGATGATAATATGATCTAATGTTATAGTCGAATTTTAGACAAAAACAAATTTTATCGAAGGTTTACTATTATGATACTAGTTGAAGAATGATCAACTAGCACAGAAAAAGTAGAGCATTGTAATGTCTATCCCTATATAAAAAAATTCTTCAAGTTTTCTGTACGGAAATAAAGTATCTTCGCCACTGCTTTTCGAGTGCTCTAAGTATTTGATCATACGGTGCTATTCATATCTACCTTCATAATAAAAACTTGATATGATTGATTTTCGAATTTTAACTTGAGTAAATTTTTTTAAAGTTGAATTCAATTATTGAATATCTTATACTTGAATTCAACTAGCAGCCTTGAAACTATTATTATTCATTAACATGATTTTTTTATTAGAAATTCATTGACAACATTTCTATCTTTCTCAGAAATATAATTTGATTTTTAAAACGAAGTCTATTGTAAAAAGAACGTTTTATTACTTTTAAATATAGCTTAAACTTCCATATCTCTCACAATTATTTCTATTGTAGATCTCACTAGTCGACGATCTTGACATCGTTCTTTCCAGATTCTTGTTTTTCTTGGTTATCGGTCAAGATTCTTTTGCCATTCCCTCTATACAAGATTCTTGCCTGAAAAAACAGATCTTGCCTTTCTGCAAGATTCGTGTAGACCGAATCTTGCCTGGTGAGGCAAGAAATATGTCGCCAGACAAGATTCTTGTATTCTTGACTTCTTGGCTGATTCTTTTTTCTTACAATTCTTGCATGATTCTTGTTTTCTTGAATTCTTGCCTGAATCTTTTTCTTGAGGTTTCTGGTTGATTCTTGCAATACAGATGAGGACTGTTTTTACATCAATATGGTTATCTCCGTTAGTTACTATTATATTTTATTATAAGTTTCAAATCAAATGCACAAAAAAGTACACAACAGCAACAAAAAATATGCATCAATTTCATATGAGGACAAAAAATGTTAAACAATATAAAGAAAAACCGAGCCACAAAAATCTATGTTTCAAAGTTCGTCGTCCTCATCATCATCATGTTCTTTATTCGATAATAATGATGGTTGAACTGTTGTCGAAATTTCTCGTTTTGATAATGTAATGGATGATCTGGTCGACGAGGTTTTTTGTTGTTGTCGTGTTTCATTTGTTGTAAAGAGTTCTTGATTGACTAACTGTCTGCAATGACAGATGCAACATTTATTTGATGAATTCGAGCAATAAAAGCTGAAAATATAGATTTGAAATACTAAAATAATGATTGAATGTCTTTTATTAATCTTACTTAAAAGAAGATCAAATCCTCCTGAAGCTAAATCATTAAATGATGCTGTTTCACCAGATGCAGTACGAACTGAACATCGTGCTATTGCATTTAATGAAGAACCATGTGCCACATGACCTAAATTGATTCCATTTAATACCTAAAAAACAGAAAAAGGGATGATAAAAGTACAAAAAGTTTCGGTTTACCATTATGAAATCATCATCATCAATAATTAGATTATCTTGAAAACTTTCATCACTAGATGATAAACATAAATCTTGTTCAACCCAAAAGGAAAGAAACACTATTAAGGTTTTATATTAAAGTAGCGTAGTCAAAACAAATTATTTACAATTTGTTCTACAGTTGAGACAGGTAAAGATAATTGAGTTGAGTAGAGTTTTTGTTTTCGATGTGCTCGCCATCATCTTTGTTTTACTGTGTGCCGCGCTGGCTCTAAAAAAAAAGAAATTATGCGGTACGAAAAAAAGAATATTATAGGTATAAATTCATACTACCTAAATCAGGACTAGTATTGCCGAAAAAAACATTACTTGAATCTTCTTGATCGATTTCCATCAAAAAAAATTCTACAACGGACAACATAAATGTTAATTTCAGATACAATTCTTTGAAAAAAATCACTGCTATCATTATTGTATATTACAGTCCTCTCTCTATATTCAATAGAAAAAGATAATCGATAGGTGTGTTTTCAATACGATCGACTATCTTAAAACGTTACTTATTCAAAGTGTAGTGAAAACATCACTTATATAATTATAACTGAATAAGTAACGGTCATACGTCTATATTTATGTATGTATTTGAACAATGAGATCACGTGCTATTGATCTTGACCCATGTCGTGAGATTCACCGCGATTTTCGCGATTTGCTAAAAAATTGGCGTAAAATCGTGATTTATCGTATTTCTTTAAAAGATCGACGATTATATCAGATTTTATCGTGATTATGGGAGAAGAGCTGATTTTCAAAAATCATTGATAAATCATGACAATTATTCATTCACCATTTTGTTATGAACACACACGGATATATAAACAACGCCGTTCAATGCATAACAAATAAATTTTCGAAATATACTTTTCTGATAAATTATTTCTTCGTTATTTTTAATCAAGGAAATGCCAATCCCGATCCATGATCTGGAGAGGACTACACTGAAGCGGTCTGATAAGAATAGGACCAGTTCGAGATCGGACAGATCGCACGATCTGATCGGCTTGGATCTTGAGAACAAAAAAAATTGAATTAAATTCAAGAAAAAATCCAAATACGCGTCTCCAAAAGAACCAATGAAATAGTAGAAAATATCAGTAAACAGACGGTTAAATCTTGCATAAAATCACGATTTATCGTAAAAATCGCTGAAATGATCGGGAATAATCGGCGATTCTATCGCGATTCAGCTCACGATTATCGTTTCGATGAATCGGGATTAAACGGCAATTTTTAGCCGATTCAAAGGACATGGGGAAGATCAGATAAGAATCTTTTAAAAGAAAAAGGAAAAGAAACTTGTCTGAACTTGAAGAAATTTTAAATTTCCTGTGGTTCTTTCCAGATTCTTGTTTTCTTGATGAATATGACAAGATTCTTGCCATCTTGAACTTCAGTCAAGATTCTTTTTGAAAGGAAAAGAAAAAGATTCTTGTCTGAACTTTAAAAAAATCTTGAATATCTTGTCACTCTTGTCTGGTTCTTTTACTTCTGAGTAATCAGGCAAGATTCTTCTCGTCTTGAACTTCTGGTAAGAATCTTTTTTCTTTCCTCTCAAAAGGAATCTTGCCTGAACATCATGATTAAAAACAATCTTGTCTGACAACCAAGAAAAACAAGAATCTGGAAAGAAGTGAGGCAAGATCGTCGACTAGTGCTATATACTCCCTAATCCTGTATGTTTGCTAAGCCGATATACTTGTTATCAGGTATCAGATCGAATTATGCTGAATTTCGGCACGCAAAATATTTAGTCGAAAAGTATACAGTTTTTGAGAGGATGATAGGGTTTAGTTAGACTATTGTTAAATGCATTTCAATGCTACGAAATAAAACTTGTTTAGAAGGTAACAAATCACGAGAGTTTCCAAAGTTTTTAATAGTATGGTCTTTGAACGTCTATGATGAGCTCAACAATATCCAGTTAGATTAATCGAATTTGCAGATATCGTTTGTATTATCAGACGCTTTAAATTTGTTTGATGCTTTGACCGAGATTCCGAAGTTCAAAAAAGTCATCAATGAAGATGAAATTTAAAATTATTAAATGTGTTTGGATCAAAAACGATGAGAAATGGGATTATTTTCAACAACATGATGCGCAAAGAAGTACTAAGTTAGCAGAAAGTTCTTGGATACGAAATTACTCTTAGTATTTTAGAATGAACATAAGCACATCGTCAACATAAATGAAAAGATGATACAACTGTTGTCTAAATGGGGATAATAATGTCGACAACGTAGTGGTCATTCGCATTACGGACTCCATGTACCATCTTGTTAATCAGCGTGGCGAAAGCGCCCAAGAAGAAAGCATTGACGGTACATACATTCTTGAGATGGCAAACGAATAGGATCATAAGTGCAAGTTCTATTTGATGTTGTGTGGGTGTGCGGTATAGATTTGAGGTATGGATATGCGTGTAGGGCGTGGGGCGTGGGTGAGTGTGAACGAACACAACGTTCATACCTGCATCCACTCACGCTCGCTCACATCCACACCCGCACCCACACCCTATTCCACCTTCAAACTTTTGATTTTCCAAATTGAATTGCAGAATTGCACTGGACTTTATTGTTGTGTGTTGGAGAAAGGAGGGTTTCATCAATGGAATTATTGTTTGATGATAATCGTGTTCTAATCCTTGAATAGATGTCGTATTCATTCAGCACACGAAAGAACTAGTTTGTCTTTTTTCATGAATTTATTTTTTTTAATTTAAAAATAAAATATCCGTTTTGATATTATTTTATTGTTATTAATGTTGATATTTATTGTCCCTAAGCAACGTCACAAAAACTGTAATAGATTCATGGCTGACAATATTCTCGACTTGTTTTGGTTTCATGTTAATTAACTGAATAAAAATGGATGCAAAGCCAATTGATGATCCCCCACATTCAACAGAAAAATATGATGAAGGTGCACTATTACCCGAGCAGCAAAAAAAGATCAATGAATTAAAAGTAGTTTTTCAATGATCTCATTGTATTTTCATTTATTTTCCAATTTCATATAGATTCAAAAACGTATTGAAAACGAACGTTATCTTCAAAAACATCCAGAATTAAATATTTTAATACGAGACTTTATTCGACAAACTTGTCTACAAAAACCTGAAGATATTCGTCAATTTGCAGCTAGTATGTTTCCATGTTTCTTTTTTTTTATTGTTTTTATTAAAATTAATTTTTTTTTCCCGTAAAGGTTATTTCACTCATCCAATGCTTGAAAAACGTATTGAAAATTTAATCAATGAACAAACAGAAACTATCAATTCAGATATAAAAGTTATTTCTGAAGAAATATTTCAACGTTAAATGAACAATATAATATCGCTTGCTTAGTATTTTTTTTCAACATATATATATACAAATTTTAATTTTTTAACATGTCTGAAAGTAATTTTGACATGGATATATTACCAATTGTACGTGAAAAATAAGTTTTTTCAATGAATATTGACGGTATACTACGAAGTAATGGTAATGTTAAAAGCAATCGACCAAAACTAAATATGAAAACAGTTTTGTCTTTTGAATTATCGAAAAAGAAAATTAAATACCGTGTTGGTTGTGTCGGATTATGAATTTGTATAAATTGTGCTAATGTTATTTGAGCTTGATCTTGTAAATTTTCAATTAATTTAACTTCTCTCAATGTTCGAATATCTATAAAAAGGAAATCGTTTAAAAGAAAAATAAAACTTAATTTATTCTACCAAAGCGAAATAGAACGATTGTTTTTAAACAAGCAAATTCAATTGGATCAAGTTTTAATTGTTTAAAAATTAAAAAGACATTCTTGATTAATTTTTCATTTTCTCGATGAAGTACATTATGAAAAATTGGATTTTCATCATCCAATGATATAGAATATTGTATTGCCCAAAGAAGAAATAATTCTGACCATGATTCTTCCAATAAAATCAACTAAATAAAAAAAAAAATTTTCCTAATCATATTTATTATCGTGGCTCACCTAAACTCAAGTTTGCAAAAAGCGAGAATTGATAAATGAAAATTCTTTATTATCATTTTGGAAAACATTCGAAACATAGTTATATCATAAGCTTGGAAAAATAGAAAAAAAACTCTTTGAAAACGGGAGACTACTTTTTCGCATTCTTTCCCCTAAATCTGCCACTATCTGTAAGTGGTTCCGACGAAAAGCTAAAGAATTATAAAGGTAAACGACTACCCTTTCTTTGCCTATTCGTCAACCTTTGAAAATTCTTTTTGAGCCATTTTCGCATTGACTTTGCTTCGCCACTTATGAGTTAATCGATATTTAAATATGGAAAATTTTTTATTCAAATGACTTTTTTTTTTAAACAATATGATGTTCTATTTAGTTCGAAAAAGCTTAAAACTGTATACTATATAGTGATTATAGTAGAATAAAAATAGTGTCTTCATTGTTGTTTTAAAAATTAAATTAAAAGCTATGAATAAACATATAAGAATTCGAATCTAGAAAAAAAACGCATCCTAAAACTCAGAAAGAATTAGAAAGTGAAACAACATTAAAAAAGAAAAAGCAATTCCAGAAGCAGATGTGGACTGATAAAATATTTTGTTTCCATATCATCTTCATATGATCTACAAGTCGCTTTTCTTCTGTTTTTTTTTGAATAATTAACAATGATACTTTTTTGAAAGAAAAATAATTCATCTAATTTATTTATTTTTCTTTCATATCACATCGTTTACTTATTTGATATATGCATAGATGTTCGTTTGAAATAATATGCTATAGAGGATTAGTTATTATTTGACAACGTTTGAACTTGTTTCTTTAGATAAAAAAAATAAACAAATACCTGATCACAAATAGGTAAATTTAAAAATGTTGGTAAATTACGTATCCATTTGATAATCATCAAAAGAATTTGTGATGATATTGTATGAACTGTTTCATCTAAATTATTAGCTAAACTGTATTTATCTATTGCAAAAAAAAATTGAATTTTTTTTATTACCGCCTTGTTTTGTCAAAGATGTTGAATCGGATGTCAAATTTGTTTGTTGAAAAGGACGATGGTGCATAACAGATATTGTTGTTCCAGTATGATCATAATGACAACCAATTGAATCTATTCGAATTTGAGTATCACTACGTTGTTGACGTTCATTTTGTACAGCTGAAATTTTTTGAAATATTTTATTTGAATTGAAAAATAAAATAACGCTTTACCTTCTTTTATCATTCCCATTTGTAAACACTAAAAAAAAAAGAAGAAAACATATCTAATCTATGTAAATCAATCAGTAACATGATTTGAAGTAACGAATAGACCAACATTTTTTTTTTCTCAAAAAAATCTTTGGCAAAAACTAAAAAGAATATAATACTCCAAATAATATTTATATATTTAACCTTTTTAAGTCGACAAGCTTGACATTGATTTCGATGAGCTTTATCAATAACACATCTGCTTGTACTTGCTTGACATCTAATATCTCAAAATAAAAGTATAGATATTTTTGAAAAAAAAAATTTTACCGATAAATTAATTTTCGTCTAACACTTCGTTTAAAAAATCCACTACAACCATTACATGATAAGATACCATAATGTTTACCACTGGAAACATCACCACAAACTTCACAGCTTAAGTTATTATTTATTGAAGTTCTATTGTTTTCTGTATATTTAGCAATATTAGCAAAATAAGCATGGGATAACGTTGGATAAGATTGAGCAAGATCAAATCGATGATTGATATGTGAATGAGATCGAAATAGTTTGGATGGTGATAAACACATTGAAAAAATACCAAATGGATTTTCAGTATTGAAATTTGTTTTGAAATGTATTAAAGAATTAGAAGAATTTAACGAAGATCTTTGTTTCTCATGATTATTACTACTATCATCATCTATGATTAGACCTATTGATGAATTATCTAATATTCAAAAAATAAAAGCATTGTCAAATAAATAGAATTAAATCTAGTATATTTACACATTCAAAGATTTCTTACCATTATTCATTGGTGAATGTTTATTTTCAGTAATATTCATAAATGAAATCGAAAATTATTGTGAATATGTCAAGCGTTCGATATGTCATGACTGAAGGAAAGAATACTATCAACGATAATCATCAATCAACTTAATTTCGAGTGGTCAGAAAAGAGAGAAAGAGAAAGAGAAAGAAAATCTTCTATTGGCTCTTGTCAATTTAAGATGACAGAAAGAAAAGAATAATATGCCATTTTTTTTTTCTTTCAAAGAATCATTAAAATTATAGAAACGAAGGGACGACTAAATTCTTTTGTTATTATGTTTGAACTGATGGTATAGTCAGAGTTGTGACAGTGCGATACTTAACATGACCGAACTGTCCAGGAGGTAGAGAGGGGAAAGCTCATTTCAACGTTGCAACCAGTTCGGATAGAAAATGTTTTATACATATGCCATTTTTCTCTAATAAAACTTGTTAATAGCAAGTTTTTTACTCTTATCAAAATAATGAAATAGTGATGTTTCTCTAATCAAAGTATTTATGTATATATAATATATTCGAAGTCACTAAATTGATGTTCTTAAACTAATACTGATTTTACGTATAGAAAACGAATAGAAGTGTACGACTCTAAATCATTGATTACAATACTTCGATATCATGTACTCGTTATGGTTGCTTGTATTAAAATGATAGAGAACCACGTTAGATAATCTATGATACGATTCGAATTGATCTCAACATTATCCATTACATTGATTCATAATTATAGTTGATATAGAAGAGAATAGCTTGTATAATAAAGAATAATCAGATAAATACCAAAGTTATATATAGAATGAAAAAAATTAAGTAGTTTGTTTTTACTTCTGAACCATGATTATTAACACGCCATTTGTATATAAAATATTAGAATGTATTGAATCGAATAATAATTTTTGAAAACAAGAAATAAAGCAAAAAAAAGGATTTTATATGACAATTGAGCCGTTTTTAAATCGTATGTTCTTTGTTCATATGTGTGTTATACACTTGAAATTTACCGTTTCTTTTTTTCTTGTTTAATGAGACACGCAGCAAGTCTGTGTCAATCATGATGTCGATCTGCTAACAACAAGTAGATTTGTCTTGACTTTAACGCAATTTGTCACATACATTTGGCATGTCTCATTAAAGTTGGACACGTTTGCAATCGTATAATATAGCTTAAATTTCGTTTCACACATACACACTTTGAGTTATATAAAAAAGAACCGAGAGAAAGAGTTATATCACAGTGAATGTGAAAATAGCTCAAGAATAGTCTCTATATATACATACACAAACGCGGATATAATATAGGTAATGAGTATGAAATCAAGAATAGCACAAAGAAAAAAAAAAGGAATATGAAAAAAAAACAAAATGATCGACTAGTAACAAAAATGTTTTTATTGATGTTGTGTTTTTTGCGTTTTATTTAAAGTAAACCAAATCCTTCAGCATTATTAATTGCAATTAACAGTTTTTCACGTAACTTTTCCATCGATGAATAATCAGGAAGAAGAAAAGCATTGAAACATGTGTGAGCTGTTGGCAAACGATCAGTATCAGGACCATTTCGAGATATAATTAATTTTAATCGTGCTAAGCCACCGATACTTAAAAATAAAGAGTTCGTGTTGAGTGCATTAATCAAAAAGGAAATACTTACGGTGCACGATCACTACCCGTAGTGAATCGAAGAAATTTTCGTTTTTGTTCATCAGTAAAACTCATTAACACATTCCAAAAATTTCTAAACAGAAACCATCAGAATAAATCTACATTTCACGTATTCTAGTTTTTGTATTAAGGAAAGTCTTATTGTAATAATGGAAATGAAAATATAATTCAATAGTTCATAAGATAGTAGTAAAAAAATATTTTACCAATCTTACTAAAATATTCCGAAAAAAAAAATTTTATTTTGCGACAGCTCGGTCATAGTGTCGTCAAATTATTCAACTGTAGCGCAAGATTTCTTCAGTACAGTTCTGACATTTTTTCACTTGTGAATATTTAAAAAGAAAACTATATGTTACCTAATGGTTGAACTATCTTTTGTATAACCACCATCGTATTCAGCAGCTGATGCAAGTTGATTAAAATCTAATGCTTGACTACCAGCAACGAGTAATTCAATTTCATCAGGTCGAAAAAGTTTTCGTAATGAACTATCACCAGTTACTAATAAAAATCCATGAAAAAATGGGTGAAATTGTTTTTCGACACTTTTGTTCAATAGAAGATCACTGTAAAGACGTACAAATTCCTATAGATCAAGAAAAAAAAACGATGCTTTTTTGATTAATTCAGACTGAAAGAAAAGATTTTTTTATGAAATAACCGCTCGATTATCACTTGTTACTGAAATATTTTCACCATTCTCTTTTAAATCAAATGTAACTCGTGAACCAGTTGCATCTGTAATACCAACTTGAAATGTTAAACAAAATGCATCTTCAACTGTTGCACCATCTTGTTGTTCATTGAATGATAAAAGATTTTTTAAACTTTTATAAATAGTCTAAACATAATTTATACAAACAAAACAATAGAATATTATAGATAAAACTCTTTACCGGATGTGACGTTTCAAGATCTTCGGAAGTTCCAATTTTACCCATTAATTTACGATATAGAACAGGTGGAAATTTAATATCAAGAATAATTGAATTATATATAGCTAAACCTAATAACATGCCAATTAACATATATTCACGATCGAGATCTTCAGGTGCTGATGGATTAAACCATAAAGAACGTGTTTCTTCATCAGCCATAAACATTCCTAAAAAGAGAAAAAGATTTTCGATAAATTCTTTCGAGTGTGATCAACCTTTTAAACTTAAATCTATTGTTTATAGTCTCAAATATACTATCAAGCAGTATATATGAGTAAATCACAGCTATTTGGGACAACTAAAATGATATCTATAGTTCACCGATTTAGGCAAATTTTTCATATGTCATTTCTAGATATGGGATGGAACTCATTGTTTCTGATTCCACTCTTGACGAAATCGAGATCTGAACCATTGTGCCTATATTTAGTCATTCTTCTTTGAGCATTTGATTGTCAAAGCAAATTTCAAAGTTATAGATCATATCGTCTCTGAGTTGTGAGACTTACATGATGAAAAAATCGCATTTTTAAGCCAAACGTACTAAAAAGAAAACGAAATTTCAGAAGCTGCGAAGGACAGATAAAAAAAAAGATAAGGTAGAGTCTATTTTGATGTCAGAGAAGTTTCAACCAGGATTTTTTTCCATAGATCTAGCTCTGAAAATTGTACAATCATTTAAAAATTCAATATTTTATCTCTATCTATTATGTAGAAATTTATAAAGCATAATGATATGCCGAAGGATAATATTCATTAAATAATGTTTTTCATAGAGCATTATCTACTCAAGTTTGTCATAATACAACATTTAAAAATTGTTTAAGTCTACTTTCATTTTTTTTTACATCTGTCCATTAAAATTATTCATTAATGTTTGTTTTCAATTTTTTTCTGAAGCCATACCTGCTAGAAAGATTTCAAATAGCAATTTAATTAGAGGAAATTTTTTCAACAGGAGTTTCAGAAAAGAAAAAGGCTATTTTTTTTAGCACATAGAACGCTAGAGTAAACTATCCTCGACGAAATGAGACGTTTTTGAACTGAAATACAGCAATCCTACAAATTGAATCACAATTAGGATTCTTTCTAGCTCTAACGGCAGTGAAAAAAATTGTAATTAAACTCTGTTGAATAACTTTGATATTCTCTGTTTAAAGAACTATGAAAAGATAAGTTTCTATTTAATGAATAAATCTCATATCAAATCATGAATAGTAATTTTAAAAATATTTTCAATTCATACCATATTCAGGACTAAAAATTTGTTCTGTAATAAGTTGAAAGAATTCTTTTGATAATCCACCTAAAAAAATCAAGGATATAATATTTTTAATTGTTGTTTTTTTTTTCTTACCTTCATCATGACCTTGTTCACCTTCGAATTCGACAAAGAATTGTTTTTTCAGTTCGGCTGGTTGTTCGATACCTTGATATTCGAGCTAGACAAAATAAATTGTCTTCTATAGAAAGAAAACTTGCTTAAGGAGAAATGAGATATGATAACATACAGCGATTAATGCATCTTCAATAAGATGATTACGTCGTACACATATTTTAAAAAATGGATCAAGACGAATACCACTGAATAAACTATGAAAAAAAGACGTATGTCGTTGTCGGTACATTTGTACTTTATTTTCGATGTTAAGAAGTGCTGAAAAAAAATAATAACAATAAAATCAATAAAATAATATAATTTTCCACTACCAATTTTGTTAATTGTTGATAAAAAGAATGGATATAAAATAAATGAAAAATGGAGAGTATCAGGTGTTTGTCGAACAAAATCAAGATATTCTTTATTTATTTCGATTTTTTCATTAGCAAATTCATTAATAAAATCATCAAATGGTAAATAACCATGACGATATTCATTTAGTTCAAGACCAAGTTTTATTTGTAATGGATTTTCATAGATTGATTCCATTTCATCTTGTTCACTTGTTGATGTACGCATTGAAAAACTTGACGATCGATGACGTGTTGGAGAAGTAGTTGCTGTTTCTGATCTATTTTCTCTTTGTTCTCCTGATTGTTGCTGTTGTTGTTGTTGTTGTTGTTGATCTTGTCCTTGCTGGTCATTATTACCATCATCAGCACCATCATCATTATGTCGTTGACGACGATTTATTAATTCAACTTCCATTCGTTGATCATTTTCACGTTCTGTTTCAAGTATTTCTAATGTTTCACGTTCACTACCAAGAAGATTTGCATAGAAAAGTATACGCAATACATAGAGTCCTTCATGCATACCTATTAAAAGTAAAAATAATTTTTTTTTACATTTGATGTCGTCATAAATACAATTCTATTGATATCTTGTTAGACAAATTTATCGAATATCTTTCTGATAAAAGAATTCCTATTCTGATTATCTCTAATCTGTAAAAGACCAATTTTGGTAAATACATAATTTACAGAACAAGGTCATTTTTATAGAAGTATGCCATTCATAGCTTATGGATTACCAGCAAGGAAACAAAAATATTTTGACAAATGAAATAGCTAACAACTATTTTAATAAATGAACTTCATCTGTCCTTATTCCAATGATTCATTAAGATAGATCATAAAGATGATGAGATTCAACGTATCTAATATTGAATTAATAAGGAGCTTTTTCACTTTTGATAAAAATTTTGAATCTAATTATTATCTTATAGTTCACAATGAAGTAATGCCAGAGGTGATGATGGTCACTTTTTTTCATCTTCGTTAGTGATTTGGAATAAAAACATTATTTTTAACCATTGATCAACATATGCACTCTCTGATAGACTTACAAAAAAAAAAACTTATCTCATTCATTTAAATTAATAAAAATCAGTTTTACGATATTTTTGTCTTCATTAAATCTTTAGTATCATGTGAATCATAGCTAGATATAATACCCTATGACTTCAAAACCTTGACAAAAAAATATTCACTCATTTTTCGACCTTTCAAAGTCCTAACGAAAAAATCTCTTCAAATATCTCTTTTCGCTTTCAATGATTTTTTTTTTGTCTATAGACACTACATAGTTTTCTAATAAAAATCGTAAGAATTTCGGTTTCAAACTTTAGACATATAGAGAACTACACTAGATTTGTTTCTAGAAAAACATTATTGAAATTGGAAGGGAGGTATCTGAAGAGACTACTGCGTGAGTATAATTCAGAACAATTTAACTTGATCTATTTGACGCATTTTTACCTTTTTCACTTGACAATAGTGCTTCATTTGTACTATTAATATGTGTATGATCACACCATTTCACTGTATGCATAGTAATATATTGTTGTAAATGTGCAACATAAGCATTTAAACTATCTTTATGTTTAGCTAAAACTCGTACAAATTTTGCTTGTATATCAATTGATAATTTCGAGAAAATTGAATAAAATGCATAGGCAGTATGAAAAATAAATATTGGATCGGATAGATATGGTAACTGAAATATAATAAAGAATATATTTATAAAATTAGCATCATTTTCAAGTTCATCTTTTTTTGATGATGATAATTCATTAGAAATTTGTTTAAATAAAACACCTAATGCATTATTAATTGTCGATGATATTTCATCTTCATATGACATTAATAATTTTATTGAACGTTTCATCATGTCAAAATCTAATGTAATCTCATCATTTTCGAGTGTTATACGTGAGTCATGTAAGAAATTACCTTTAATGAAATAAAATTAGTTTGATTATTTTATTTATTAATTAATAATAGAAAACAATTTTGTTTTTTACTTTTTGCTGTAGCACTTGCTGATGAAGAAGTTTCATTATTAAGTAATATATTCATAGGAAAAGTTTTTTGTAAAAAACTTGATGATAAATTTTGTCGATTAGAAAAAACAGAATAAATTAAATTTTGAAGTAATGTCCAATTATTTATTTCTTTCGATTTATTAATTATTTGTTGAAGATTTTCTTCTATTAGAAATAAATTTGAATTTATATATTCATCTAAATAAGTTGAACCATATTCATGTGTAAGTTTAATTGCTTCAGCAGCAGCATTATTTGGATCTTCAAAAATTTTTCGATCATATTTAAATGATGAATTCGATGAACAATAGATATTTAAACATTGATTATTTCCTATTAATAAAAAATGAATTAAACATAAACGAAAAATGTTAAGAATTTCTTTTTGCATACCACAACCGTGCGTTAGTTGTTGAAAATAATGTTGAATGAATTTGGCTAGAATATGAAAAAATAAATTCATTCAACAACACGGAAAATGTTTATTGAAGATCGTCATACCAGCAGTCATATGATTAGTTTTTTATTCAAATAGAACAATGGTATTTTTATGAATTCTAGAAAAAGAATCAAGCAATTTCAGAGGAATTATGCAATATTACATCAATAGAAATGTCTTATTTAGTGTTAGCTGCTTTTTATCATCGACTTCTACGTATACATATGTGTATTTATGTCTGAATCGCTCTTTTACTCGTCATTATTTTACCTTAGCTGTAAGAGATTTCACCAATCCGAATGAATAGAATACCATAGAAAAAGAAGACTAATTCAGCAGAGGGCGTTTTAGATTTATTCAGTACATGTTGGAAAAAAAATAAAATTCCAAATGTATGATCTGTTATTCTTTTCGTCCATTTTTTTTTCTAGTATTTTGTATAACATAAATATAACAAACCAGACAAAAGTTTAAATATAATTGAAATATCTAAATAACAAAGAGTTGGAACAATAAGACTATTTAGGAGTAATCTTGAATGTTTACAAGTTAATTTTCATGCTTCTATCAAATACAAAAATTCTAAAATGTTTCGTGCCCATCAACAGTCTTTGTATTCGGCTTATGACCTTTTTACTGAAAAATCAAATAACGAACCTCTGATCTGAACTTATGCTCATAGATAGACTTGATAACTTGGAGAACATCCTGAAAGTTTCAATCGAAAAGAAATACTTTAACAATAGAACATTGCGTCTGGATGTTCTCAGAGTCATCAGATCTTTCTATGAGCGAAATTTCAAATTAAAATTACGTTATTTGATTTTTCGGTAAAATAGTTATAACTTGAATCCAAAAAGTATCAGTTCGAGTAGTTTCCTCATTAGTGTATTGCATCGTAATTGACTATTTCTGAGTTCGAAGTATACATGATAAGTTCATGACTTTTTTGAATCATGTGGATTTCGCTCGATTTTTCTACCACCAAATGGTAATCCGTTAATAACCAAGGTTATTATTTTTATACATGTAGCAAGAAAACTGAATGAAATTCATATAGTTTGAAAAAAACGAAAACTTATTCATTATATTTCCAATCTGAAAATTATCTCCATAAATAGATCTCAGAATTATCACAATATTTTAAAAATTACAGCCCAAATGAATGTATTTTACATGAAATATTAAATGCTTTATCAATAGTAATATCTTGTAGGCAAAGCAAATAGTTGCTCTGAAACTTATCTATGAATATAACATCTCATACTTTTAATGATACTTCATATTTTTTTATCTTGTAAATGTTAAGCATCATTTTAAAGTTAACAATTCAATTACTTCTCGGTTAATATTCCAACAATGTACTCGAATGATAATATACTTTTGTTATTTGTCTTTTGTCTGGCATAAACAACCGGTTTTACTAACACAATATTTTTACAAGAGTACACATACGCACACACAAGCATATTTATATCGAAAAAGAAAAAAACACATACATAGAGAACACAAGACAACAAGAGAAAAACAAAGATCAGGAAGTTTTTTTGTTGTTTGTTTTGAAAATTTTCTTTGCTTGTGTATACATTCAATGGTTTTATATGAATACATTTTTATGTTAGAGAAAAAACAAAAAAAAACAGACAACGAGAAAATTGAGTTTTCTTTAGATAAGAGAAAAAAAACCATGAAAAAAAATTAATTAGATGTCATTATTTTTTCAGTGTACTTTCGGCACGATATGCCTCAAGTTCTGCATCTAAATCTTCAGCAGTAATAGTTTCTTTTTTTGTATTACCACGAATACTATTTCCCTGTTGATTACCACCACCACCACCACCACGTGATCGATTAGTTCCACCACGATTTCCATTTTGTTGATTATTAAAACGAAAACCTGATCTTTGATTTCCACTATTAGTTCCGTTAACAAATGAACCACGATTTGTTTGTTGTGGTAATCCACTATCAACACCACCTACTAATTTGATATCCATTGGACGACCTAATAATTGAGTTGTTCATGACATAGTGAATTTTTTTCTTACGCTGCTATATGACTTACCATCAAGATTAAGACCATTATATTTTTGTTGAGCAGTACTTGCATCAGCACGACGTTCAAAAATAACTTCAGCTGTACCTAACGATTGACCATTTTCATCGAAATGTACGTGTGCTGCACGAACAGCTCCAATATCTTCAAATAATTCCTTCAAATAAAAATATGAATTCATATACAAAAAAAAATAGAAGAAAAATTCTATTTTACGTGAACATCATTTGTTGTTACGCCATAATCAAGATTAGATATAATTAATTTCGTGGTACTATTAACACCACTATTTCGTTGTACACCTCGAGCTCTATTAGTATTATCATCATAAAGGTCATGTTTCCAACGACCTGCTGGTGCATTTGATGGTCGAGGCTAAATATGTACAAATATATAAGAGAATAATAAAAATTAAAAATAAAAAAGATTTATTACTAGTCCACCACCGCCTTGGGCTCGAAATCCGTTGACTTGACCACCTCCTCGACTGCCGCCACGTCTTTGAAATCCTCGCTGACCACCGCGGCCACCACGTCGATTCGTATTACGATCTCTTCGAATGATATCGTCGAGTCCAAGACCAAGTTTTTCCGAATCGGTCATTGTTATGTTTCTTTCGAAATGTTATGAATAAATGATGATGATGATGATGATGATGATGAAGTGGCGTTAATCTAAAAACTTCATTTTTTTGTGTGGTACATTGGCTGTTGTTTTAAATTATTTTGAACTGGATATTAAGAATAAATATATATAGTAGTTTTGTATAATTAAACACTGCAATGGAATAAGATCACAAAAGCTGTACAGCAGTCCGGCTGTATTTTGTTTTTGCCGTCGACGAGGTAAACCCCGTGGACATACATTCGCGGTATTCGTCGTCGAACGAATTTAGCGAATTGTGCTCATGCATTCTATTCATTCTTGACTTTTTAGTTTCCTAATATATTCTTAAATGTCATACTTGATATTTTCGATAAAATGAGGAACAACTCGGGATAATAATTAGTAAAAAAACGAACAAACTGCCAAACAACACTACAAGTATAAAATGATAATGCCAGGAGAGGACAAGAAGAAAATAAATGAATGAAAATTATTGATTGGAAATATTTCCAAACAAAGAAAAATATGACTATGCTTATTTGTCTTATAACCATATTGAAAATCATGGTAATTTGGCCTCTATTCAAAAGTTTCGACTGAACAAGAAACCACTTCATAGTTTTTGAAAATAGAAGAAAACAAATTTGCATATTAGTTCTCAATTAAAAATCTATTATTTACAATATATTAAAGAAAAATATAACTGCTAATGGTCATCTACTTATCTGATTGGCTAAATCTGTTGTCATGTGGAAGAGTAGAGACAATACCCAATGAGTCAATAAGTAGGGTCGCATGCATCGATCTCATTCATTTTAGAAAGAGAAAAACAATCATGTCTCAAGAGCAACGCGTCCATGATAATTCAAATGATAATGATGAGGATGAAGTGAATAATAGACATTCAATGGATTACAAAATTTCATCTGATAATTTAGAATTCGTTCCAACGTTTCTTAAAATAAAACAAATAATTCTTCTTCGACATAGTGATTTTATTAATTTACTTAATGAATTTAATACTACATTAGAAACATTTACAAGAGATGAACCATACTATTTACGATTTACTATTGTACCAAATTCTGATTCAAATATATTTTGGAAAGCACTTATTCGTATAACATGTTCAAAAGTAGATAACAAATTTTTTTTTTTGTTATTATTTATTAGAATTTTAACTTATTTTTCTTTTCTTGCTAAGATTTCAAGAGCAGATCAAAGTAAATTGAATGAAACTGTTTTAAATTTACAACAATTCTTATCAGTACATCAATCATTATGTCAACAAATAGTAATATTACAAAAATGTTCATCATCAACATTATATAATTCATCATCAACCGATGAAAATAATTCATCATTTTCAACAGCAAAATTGTTCGTAAAAAAGGAATAACATTTTTAAAATACTTTATCTAGTGTCTTAATTTTTATTATAGATCTTTTAGTTTACCTAACGATAATGAATGTTGTATTTGTATGGATCGTAAACCAAATTTAGTTTTGCCTTGTACACATAAATTTTGTGATGAATGTTTTCATCAATGGTTAGTTTTCTTTTTGTATATATTGTTATTTCAAATTATAATCATATTATTTTATCATACATGTAGGTCTTCTCAAAGATCGTCTACATCATCTCAGACATGTCCATTATGTCGTGTCGATGTCAATAGTGATAGTGGTTTTGTACTTGCTGAAACACCAAGATATGATAATGTTAAAAAGATGCTTACGGAATCTATACTATCATTACCAGTTGATTTAAAAATTCGTGCTAATGATAGAACATCAATGATTCGAAGTTATCATGAATGACATTTTCGTATCAGTTTATTTGATACAACATATATTTTTTTTTAAAAGATATTATTTGTATTCCTCTTGTTTTCTTTTTTTTGTTCAATATTTATATGATTTAATGTATGTATATATACATATGAGTTTAACTATGCAACACAATATTTAAAAAATGATTTCGAAATCGAGCAAAAAAGATCTATTAACAAATTTTTCTTTTCCATGTTGAATATACACACTTTCTTAAACAAAAAAACATCAAGTCACAGGTAATATTGAATTTGATTTAATTTCTAGATTGTATTAAGTTAAGAATGAATTTTAATGATTATTTAATATATGCCAAATTACAGTTGGTAGGAGAAGAGCATGTGCATGTAGAAGGATAAATATTTTTCTACAATGTATTGATTAATGTTGAATGATATTGCCTCAAAAAAGTTGTTTTTCGAGATAAATATAGAAGTGTATCTTCAAAGATGTGTTTTTTCTTTAATAATTCATAAAAACAAATTTTTAATTTTGAAACATTTATGAAAATATCCATGGTAATAATTCTCTATGAAGCTAAGTAAAAAATCGCTCAATAAATTTCGTTTCAATATACTTTATTCTACAGAACTGTGAGATTTTCCATTCGATAATAGAGTATTTGCTTTTAGATACTAATGAGATATGTTTGAGTTCGGTTTCCTCGACAAGGAAAATCTCTTATGTGTAAATAACGATTATCTATTACGTTCAACCAAAGATTCTCGTGGTCGAAGCATCTGAATCTTTAATTACTCTCTTCAAGTTTTTGAATTTGATTATTTCTGTAGACTACTAACAGATTTAAATTTCTCAAACATGAAAATCTTTATTTTCATAACATGGACGTTCTTTGACAAAACATCCAACGCAGAAAATTTTCGTTAGCTATTATTGATGGATAGGTTATCATAACTGTTACATCCTTAGGTAGTTTCTCTAAACAATTCGATGTGATATTTGTAGATCTTCACAGTTTGACTTCCGAAAATTAAAAAGAAAACGGAATCAATTCCAAAAAAAGTCCGTTCTATTATCCAAAGAAGTATAGTGTCAGACATAAGTTTAGAGCCGTTCTATTTTTAAGTTTGCTTCTCGATGGTAATAAATAGAAAGAATTTGAAAACACATTTGAGTAACTAAAAGTATTCTCCATCAGGATTGGTAAATGGCCATTTTGGATCTGAGACTTCAAAGAACTTTTTAACAGTAAATTTTGATGATGAATATAAAGTTTTATGCTTATAGTTTCATCAAAATTCCATATGTTATATTGAAAAATTAATTATGAGGATGTAAGAACTTGAAAATCAATACATTGTGATAGAAAAATATTCCTCATTATTAATTGAAAATATTCTTATATTCAACTAAAAGACTAACCTTAATCAATTTCGTCTGATACGCATTGTTTTGGGTAATGAATCTTGTGACCTGGATTCAACTGTAAGCGCTTGTGTCTATGCATATTTTCTTCATACTGTATGTTAAATAAAATAAAATTATTGGATTTAATTATTAATTTTTAAAATTAGACTTGTTCAAATCAAAATGAAATTCTTTATTTACCTGTAATGAATACTAATCCATCAACATTTCGTTTACGTACTGAAATTCGTTGGTTTTTCAAAGAATATTATTCAAATGTTATATTTATTGATGATATTAATTTGAATGAATTATATGATCAAAAGAAACTTGAAATAATTCTTGTTGATCATCATTATTTACGTTCACAATTAAATAAAGTTGTAATAGAAATCATTGATCATCATCAAATAAAAAAAGATTCAATTATTTTACAAAAGTATTGAAAATCTTTTTTTTTTTTTTCAAACAAAAAAGAAGATAATTCTTCTATTGTATTTTATTAACCTAGTTCATCGGCAATTAAAATTGAACCTGTTGGTTCATGTTGTACGCTGATTGCTGAAAAATTATTTGAATCAAATTTTGAAATGACAGAAGAAATCGCATATTTATTAACTGGTAAATAAATTAACGAAAGAAATAGAAACAAAACAAATATCTTTAAAATTTATTCAAGGACCAATTTTATTTGATACCATTAATTTTTCACCAAGTGCTGGTAAAACAACAGAAAAAGATCGACAAATATATGCTAAACTTCAAAGCTTTCGTTCACCATGTACTGATAGTTTAGAACTATATACAAATTTAAGACAAAGTTCTTGTGATGTAACAGGTAATGAAATATTGAAAACAAACAAAAAAAATAAATCTAAATATTCAAAATATATAGGGTTATCGATTCAAGATTTATTACAAAAAGATGCTAAACAAATTGTTACACCAAATTTTCGTCTTATTATGTCTAGTTTACCAATGAATTATACAGTTGAGGTAAATCTATGTAAACCTTCCCAGAGAATAGTACTTCACTAGGCTTCTATTGCAATCAACTTTTTTTGTGTTGTACCAATGGTTTGATTTGCTAACAAGCACAGAAGTGCACAAAATTCGATAAATTAGAATTTTCAATATTTCATTTCTAGACTGTATAATCTCTCATAACAGAATGAATAATAAAGTATGCCTATTTTCCTATCCGTTATTTTCTAAATAGTTGGCTCACAAAAGAAATTTGTTTGATCATTAATAGAAAAACATTTAGAAAAACCGATATTAGATACAGCTAAGAAGTAACACTTGAATAGACTTGAAGCTGCTGTACTTCTATTCTGTGGAGAGGAGAATGTTAGAATATTCTTCTTATTTCAATTTTATTTTTTTTTCTTAGAAATTGATTGCAGAATTAAAAATATTGAATGATATACATGAATTTTTATCAAAAAATGACAATGCTGATGGTGTTATTATGACATCTGTAGAAGTGAAGAATGAAGAAACAAAACGTCAATTAGGTTTTTATATTAAAAAGATTGAATACATACAGCCGCTTAGTGAATATATTCAAAGTAAAGAACTTAAACTTGATTTACACGAACATGTTTTACCGATAAATCAATCACATATTAAATTATTTGATCAAAAAAATGTTCATGCGTCTCGTAAACAAATATTGCCGCTTATTGAAAAATTTATCAAAGACTTTATTTAATTGAACGCTTCTTTGACATTTGTATCAATAAATTGAACTCTATCATGCTTTATTTACGTGGCTAAATGATTTTGAAGCGAGAATTAGCTTTTTTGCTACAATTTTTAATTCTAAAATATTTTAATAAATAAAAATTGAAAATATGCATTAGAGTTTATTCAAGTTTCTCTATTTTTCTACATACAAGATCAATAACTTTAGATCTCATTTCACTCTAGTTATTTCATAAATGATCCAAATAGAGAAACCAAGGATTATAACAGTCCCAAGAATATTTTATTTGCAAAGTTTGTAGTTTATATAACTCAAAGGTAATGCAATCTACTCTAAAAATTTCATCAAAAAAATTTCTTAGAGAATTTCAATTATATATAAATTATCAGCTCTTCGTGTAAAAGATTTCAATGCACTTCCTATTAGAACGAATAGACTCATCTTTTTCTGTAGACAAATATCATTGTTTAAGCTCCAATTACATGGAATACAATATTAACATGCCCATACGAATAAGGAAAATTGGCGAAAATCATACTAGGAAATATATTTTTCTCATTTGGATGAACAACTTAGGATGTTATTGCATTGAATTGAAGTCGAGTCGCGCGATATTTATCCATATAAAAGATGAGTCCATTAGCTCAAATAGGAAGTATATTGAGGTGTTGTGCAGGAAAAACTTAAAGTTTCTATACCACTCAAGTCCATTAAGAGATTTTTCGATGAGATTTTTTGATCACATTGCACTACAGTTGACCTACATGCATTACAAGTTTCAACCCAATTTATCTAAATTTCATAGTTTAACGAGCCTATTTTTAGATACGTTTCGTCGATAAAATACTGAAGCGTGCTATGATTATTAATATTTTTGTAAGCTTACATTCTGTAGAGCTCTTTATCGATTGATGAAAACTGCATATTTATAGCATTTTGTTTCCTTGAAGTATTGCTATCGACAATCTACAGAGGCAGTACACGATGAATTTTGCCAAGTACCGTTTACACGGAACGGTTCTTATTTTATTTCGAAATCATATTTTTGTAGCTTTTAATACCAATGTAGAATAGAAAAGAAAACGCAACTTGTTTCAAAATACGTGCACGTAAAGAAATATGTAAACATTTGTCTTCGCTAAATTTCAATCTGGTTTATTGACGACAGAATGATATCGAAGCAGTATCGTCCGTAGATGGTGCACTGATCTAGCTTAAGTTTCTTGTACAGTTCTATCATACTTGTAATGAAGGAATGCAAGTTCAAGTCATTACAAAAGTACGATCCAACATATAGTCACATAAAATTCATTATCTCCTCAAAAACGTCTTGCAAGTATCTGTCAATGGATAAATATTACTGTGAACCGCTCAAAAAAATGTACTTTCGTACTACAATTTAGATGAACTGCATAGATTTGTTAGGCTCCCGGAAAGGAGAAACAAGTGTTTCACTTTGTTTTTAATGTTTTATTCAAATTTTCTCTTTCAGACGGGTCATTTAAAACACCATGAAGATAAACATCTATCATCGAGAGCATAGAGACACAATACATAAAAGCACCACAGACTGCGGGAAAATCTACCCAATCGTCAGTGGGTGGCAATCCATCGACCCACACACTGAATAAAACAGTGCCTGCTGTAGTTCATTCAAACCTCGTTGTCATGTGGCCTGTGCTTGAAAATAGTTTGAATCATTATAAAACTGCTAATGGAAGATCATTCATGTTTATTGCAGTTGTACTACTTCAATGGATACTGAGTTATGTGTAAGGCAAATACACTCATTTTCATTTAATACATGTTGACTGATATATATATAGTATGAAATAATGTCTATCAGCTATCTCTGCTGCAATTTAATGAAGTAGTTCATTCGTACCATTTTATTGACATAAGCACAAAAAAAAGTCACAAACAAAATCCAGCAAATACAAGAAAAAGAAAACAATTGTAAAACATTTTTTTTGATAACCAGACATTCATATTGAAGAACTTTTGTCTTTGGTTCTATCGATATTTTAAAATTAACTTTAGTCAAATAGCTTTGAAAAAACGAAAGACGAACTAATCTATAATATAGAACATTGTGCATTTCTCATCGAACTGTCGTAGTTGGCTGTTGTTTTATATTGGATATATTGTTTTTTACGAGATGTGAATGCATTGTTAACACATGGTTTGAAAAACGACTTCGTCCCTGAAGTATTTCACCACAAATTTTACAACGAACACGAACGTTTTCATCATAATCCGATGACTAAAAATGAAAAATCAATAAGAGGAGAATAAAATGTAATCAGGTAGAACGAGAATTATTTCTTCTGCTTTGACATTGGTTCATTAGGAATAAAACATTAGTGAAAGACGAGAATCATGTTGGTATTAAAAAAAAAATAAGAAATTTAAAAGTCTGCTTAAATATATATACGAAACAATATAGGCTTTCTTTTTTTGTAATTTATAACTTCTCGAAATGACATAATAGGATAGTCTTGATTTTTTTTTGCTGTAGAGAACTCATTTTTGTAAAACATCATGGATTCAAATAAGTTAGAACTGAAAAGAATCAGAAGTTGCATATAATTTTCGAATAGCTATTTTTTTTTAACAGGTAGAGTGTTTTTCAAAAACTATCCGTTTTTTTTAATCTGACGTATTTAAAAGAGGACAAGTTTTTATTATTTGCAATCACATATCAAAGAGGAAGCTAACTACGGATTTTACAAAGCTCTGCTGTGAATATTTATGAATAAATAAGACTTTGTTATAGTTTAGGTTGAGGCAATTTTAATTAGAATCCTTTTGAGTTAGGACTCTCAGCTTATTGGTGTGGAGATACACCAATTTGACAGTATTTTTCTGACTTGATGCCGTGGCTCGTCGTAGGAACATTAGAAAAGCTGATCTCTGAATTCTAACTTGAAAATTTTCATAGAAAGAAGCCTTAAGAAGAACCGTTTAATATGAAAAATTTCAAATTCCTTTCATCATGCATATTCTAAGATATGGTTATGGTGAAAGTATATCTTTTCACCACTTATACAGACAAGTAGAATTGATGGTCTTATTTTTGGTTTGAGACAGATCAAAAGTCCCAATATTTTCACAACAAACTCTTCTCTTTAAGGTCTGTTTCTGTGTTAAGTTTCAAAAGTGAATTCAAAAATCAGTTTTCCTTATGTTTCTCAGAAGAGAACGGCATTGAAGCTAAAACTATTGTAAAACTGAAGTGTACCCACAGCAGTAGGCTAAAAACTCAAGTTCTTTTTAGGCTATTCATAGCTCATTTGAATCTACACGGTGCACATATAGTTTCGATTCAAAAGCGATCGAATTAGTTGAGGAACTTGCTTATGAGCACATGACGGCACACAACAACTCGTGCTTTTGTTTTATCTACTTCACGGTGAGCCAACTGAAGTGACACAATACAGAAATAATGAACTGTTGACGAAAACTCTAAAGCTGCCCAATTCTCAGTTAAATGGAATAAGACATCTTCGATATTGAAATGACAATAATAGAACAATTAGATAAGACCTTCTTATCATCGCTTTTCTTTTAAGTGTTATTAGTTGAAAAGATACTCATATTATTTAAATGAAAAGAGAAACAATTCTACACGATGTCTGGTCCAGTGCGACAAAGTAGAACAAAATTAAGTTGCTCACTATTCACCTTTCATTCTAATTTTAACAAACATTCTTTTTACTCTCTAAAGTTTTCTCTCAATAAATTAACCTTAGTCGATAAAGAAAAACTGAAGATTCTCTTCAATAAAATATAAATACAGCAAAAATTGAATAAACATGATTTGCAACGGTCTTCGATAAGGATTAATCCACTAATAGAAACTACTGATGGAACCTCTTTTGAGGCTCTCTAATATTTGTCTAAGCTGCTGAATTCTTTTCTAGAGATTCGATATTTTCAGAAATCCTCGACTCCAGAAAATAGACATTATAAAAAATTCGAATAGAGACATATGAAGAGGTTCTCTTATAAGTAGCTTCTGTATTTCTTTTCTTCGTAAATTCAATTAACTTTTGTATTCAACGTCAAACTATTATTCTAGCATTACCTGATCACCATGACTTTTGTATATACCGTTACTATGAACAGATTTTTCTGAATAATTTTTATTTGACGATGAAATAGTTTTTTTAATTGATGGTTGTGAATCACATATAATAATTTCTTCATCATCTATTTTTGATGTAACTTTTAAATTTTCAATATTATTTAAAGATGGTATTGATTGTTGATCATGATTTAATATTTGTACATATTCAACTGAACTATTTGATGCTTGTCGTTGTTTATTTCGACGTTGTTGTTTTGGTTGTTCACTTTTTCTAGAAACAATATTATTATTCTTATCATCATCATCATCATCATCATCGTCATCGTCATCGTCATCGTCATTTTCTTGTTCAATATCATCAGTAATTTTAATAATAACACTGGATGCTGGTGAAGTTTTTGCTTTTTTTTGTTCACGTTGTCGACGACGTTTCTGTGCTGAACGTTCAACTGCTAGGGTAATTGTTGGTGATATACTACGTTTTAATGATGTTGCAAGTTGTTGTCTTGAACTTTTTGATGATGCTCGAGTTGATATTGATGAATTACTCGACATAGAAGAGAGCGAACGCACTAAGAAATAAAGAAAAACAATAGTTATAACACATTTTAATAAATAAAAGACAGACGTCAAACCAGTTGAAGTTTTTTCAACCGGTTCGCACCGAATTTCAGCTCCACAAAACGACCGAGTCAAAGTCATACATCTCTTGAGATTCCAATCCGTAATATTGTTTAGTTAGGTAATATAGAACAATATTCATGCCGTATTTTGGCTGGCTCTCTCTAATAAATTCATAATTTCTTCACAAGAAATGATAAATTTTTATGTTTTTTTTATTGGCAAAAACTATTATTAAACGTACTTGCAAGTAACATGTCGCTTTATGTTTACGTAGTTACTTTGAAGAAGTCACAAGTATTATTGCTCTTGTTTGACTAACTTTTTCATTTCTCGGCTACTATTGTTAGTTAGACAAGCTAAATCAGGTACAAAGTTAAATTTCAAAATAGACTGTATATTTTTAAATTTATTTTTATTAAGATCTAAGTTTTTTTAAAGTTGTAGGAGACTAGTAGATTGATAAACTATCACATAAAAAAATGAAATTTTATGCAATGAGAATATCATTTGACAGCTGCTGACTTTTAAGAGTTTCTGATAGTCAGTGGTTAGCATTCAAGAAATAAAGTTGAAATTTTTAGACGAGGAATTATTTGTTTATGTTATGAGTCAGTGGGTAACTTTTTGTAGTCGACATTGATGTATTCCGTATGCTTCGAATTCACTTGTTGCATAGCGCGAGGCGGCTGGTCACAATGGAGAGCTAGAGTTCTTTTTTATCTAGACTGAAAATTTAGTTGACTCGAAGTTTTTGATCGTTTTTTCTTGAACACTCAAACCGTGAAAATCAATAAAAACGAGCAAAACTACACTAGGTTCAGTACTGTAAAAAGTAACTAAAAAACTTTGTTCACAGTCTGAGACTTTCATTGATAATCTTAGCATAATAAATACTCATTCTATTGATAACATCTGTATAGAAGGATTAAATACAAGATAAAGAATAATTTACCATAAATCGGATTATTTTTAACTACGGTTTTTTTCGATGAGATTACAGTAGATGAAGATTGTTCACCAGAAAAAAATTTTGTTTCATTTGTCTAAACAAAAAGAAAACAAATAAATCAACAAATGAATAAAATTATTTTTCAAAATATCATTGAATTACTTTCGATTGTTGTTCAACAACTGCAAGAAATTTTTTTTTTAATGGTGATGACGTTAAATCATCCGAACATAATGATTTAACTCGTTTTAATGATAAACGTTTTTGATTCGTACTTAAAGATTCTTTCGATACTATTGAAGTATTCATTGATGATTTATTTAATGTTTTTGATAAAATAGAACCTTGTGCAAATGGATTACCTTTTGGTAATTTAGCTATTTTATATGGATAATTTTGCATAAGTTGATTATATGATGAAAGATGATTTAAACATAAATTAGCACATGTTCGATTTTGATGTTGACATGTAGGAAATACAAGTTGATATTGTTCTTGTTTTATATAATGAATTTTTTTTGCTAATTGTTTATCAATAAGTCCAAAATGTGATGCTTGTTTTGATAATAGAAATTTTATTGATTCAATATCATTATTATTTGTTATAGTTAAATTTTGTTCAACTTGTAAAATAATATCATAAAGAATATTTTGACAAATTTTATATTCATATTGTTCATGTTTATTTAATAAATGATATTTTAATGTTTTTGAACATGGAAATGATAATAAACATTGATGACATTGAAATAATTTTGATGAAAAATTACCTAATGGTAAACGTTTTTGTTCACATGCATTTTTAGCTATCAATGGAAATTGTTTTGTTGAAAAAGCCGTAACTAAATATGATGATATATAACTATAATCAGGTAAATCATCTTTTGAATAAATTGAATGTAAACGTTGTTGATGATTTTTAAGTGCACGATGTGTACGAAATTTAATATTACAATCCGAACATATTATTGATTGATTTGGATGAGACATACTAATATGATAATTAAGTCCGTAATCACAAGCAAAAATTTTTAAACATTGTTTACATAGATAAGTAAATGAAATAGAAAAATTTTTGTTTAGTTTATTTTTAGTTTCTTTTATTATAAACTAAATAGAATATAATAATAATAATACAATTAAATTAATATAATATTGTTATTAGATAATAATTACATACTTCTTTATTTAAACAATGATAATTTTCAATAGATAATAATGTATGTTCATTAAATGATAAAAAACGATTAAATTTTAGTTTTTGTTTTAATTGTTCATTATCATCTTTACTGATTGAACGTAAGAGAACATTCATGACGATAAAAATATTGTTGATGATCGATCATTGGAAAAAAAATCTGTATATGTAATATGAACAATCTATTCGAACAAAAGACAAGACATGTATAAAACATGGCTAATAGAAATAAACAGGATTATGATTACAGGAAAAAAAAAAGAAAACAAAGAATTGATATTAGAGAATTTGAAAAAGAAAATAAGATTATGACCTTTTTTTTTTGTTTTTGCTCTAGACCTGAATACGACATCTGCCGTCGACCTCATCTCATAAAACATATTGGAAAGAAGAAAAAGAAGAAGAAAAAAATTTATGTTAATGGATAGAAAAGAAACTACTTTAAACTCAATATGATATCCATCATTATTTGCTAATATGATGGATAATCTTGTTTGATTCTATCATTTTTTTTATCAATAATTTGAGCTAGTTAGCTGTCCAAAAAAAAAGATAGTATGACATAAGTAGAAGTTAAACAACGAAGAAAAAATGCAAATAGAAATAACACACAAACAATTGAATGAACATTCTTTCATAATTCGCTCAAACATATACATCCGCCAATGAATGATGATGAATTTTGTATGTGTATATACCTGATTAGAACATGAAATGTCTTCAATATATGACTGTTTTTTTTGAATATTGTATTAACACACAATGAATTTTTTAAATAGAATCGATCTATTTCTATGTACTAGAACATATTATAATAAAATAAATAATTTATATCAATCAATAATCGTTATCGTTTCAGTCGCCATATTGCTTTTTTTGTCGAATGTACCTCAATAATGACGCATCGTCACATTACAACGAAGCAGGCAAACGGACAGGCAAACAGACTGTTGACACTTATATTCCTCTTCTTTCTTTCAATAAGCATAAATCTCATGCTTTGTACAAGAAATTATGGTTCAATCATAGTGCTTGACTATAATTAAGAAATTTCTATCATAGTCTTAATCATTAATCGCACGTATATTTCATGTTGAGGAAATGAATATGTAGCTAGTACTGTTTTCTTTTTATAGTTATTTTATTTTTTTTAACAATACAAAGAAGTACTTGAAAACTTTTACATAAAATCATCTTCGTAATCAGCATCCTGTTCGAAATCATCTTCTTCATCACCAAAAGCACCAAAATCTGCTCGTCGACCAGTTTTTAGTTGTGGTTTATTTTGTTTTTTAGTTTTTGATTTAGCTTTTTTCTCACGTTCTTCACTTTGTTTACGTAAATAAATTGCTTGTAATGTTGCTTGTAAATGTTTAATATTTTCAATTGACATTGATTTTGTTATACCATTAAGAAAATGATCAATAAAATCAGTATAAAATTCTGATTTTGATAATGTTTCAAGACGATTATATAAACGAAAACTATAATTAAGAAACTCTTCTTTTGTTAATAGATTCAGATCATCTAATGTATGATGTTCACCATCTTTTTCAACTAGTTCAGATACCATATCTAATTTATCTTGTTCTTGTTGTAGTTCACCTTTTTTTTGTATGTTATCAAGTTCTTCTGGTGTATAGTCTCCATCAGGTTCTTTTATAAGAACTTTATTAGATTCTTCATGATCATGCAATTTTTTTTTATTTATCTTATTTTTAGTCGTTGTTACTGTTTTCGTTGATTCTTTTGGTTTTTCTTCGACTTTTGGTTGTTCAGGCTAAAGAAAGCAATATTTTCATGTTGACAATGAAATTCATCAATTAACTAAACATACTTTTTCTTCCAATACAGCTTCCCAATCTTCGGGAGTTTCATCGTCATCTTTTACTTGAGCACTTACTATACTATGATTTTGCCAATGATCAGTCATTATTAAATAAAACACAAAATTTTAAAATCTAGAATAGCAAATCATATAAATACACAAGAATAAATAGCAAAATAGTATCATGAAAAAACATATACGCTGTTTAACTTAATGTAAAATCTTTTCTGTATTTTACCATGTTGTTTTTCAGAATTCTTATAGAAAAATGTAGTTTTCCATACTCGATTCTATTTTATGAATTGTACTTCATATGAGAAAAAAGCGCAAAAAATTAAAATTAACAATCATGTGTATATTGTTATCTAAATAATAGACCTTCTTGTGGAGCCTGTTTGTTTTCCAAAGAAATTTTCGGTAGAATAATACCCTGATCGACCCTAGTTTTTTGAGATTGGTTATTCAGATATTTTCATTGCTTCAAAGAACTGAGTAGTTAACTGATGTCGCTATATATCGGCTGAAAAATAAAAATAAAAAGTATAATATTTTATCTATCAGATTAAAAGCCAGCTTGTAGAATAATTTCACAAGTTTCTCACTTTTGGAATTCGACCTTGAGAAAAGAGATACTGTGTTAAAAAAAAATAAGAACGATATAGATACCAATATCATGCCTTGTATTTTCGTTTATGATGTTCTACAAACAAATTGTATTTAACTAATGTATTGTTTAATACATCATTGAATGATCAGAAAATTAACTGATGAGACTCATGATGAGATCTTGATCTATTTCAATATGAAAAAAATCAATTCTTTAGTTCAAACAGTCCATCAAATAAATATTTCATCAAAATAGAACGTAGGTGTTTTATTAAGCGTAGGTGCATTTTTTATTATTCAATAATAATAAATTTGATAAACTAATATTATTGGGTAAGATCGATCTGAGAATTAAACCATCTGGAGATAAATTTCACGCGTAAGACTATAAATACTATTAGATTTATATTTAAATAACTGCTTTTTTGAAGCTTTCTTATTCCTTTTCTGTGATCTGTAAAAGGTAAGATAACGATATAAGAACAAAACAGATTTTTCAATACTTAATGATTATTTAGACTAATCCACGAAAATGAAATTTCTTGTCTGCTTATTTATTACTCTTGGTGTTACCTGTGGTGCTATATTACGTAAGTTAATTAAATACAATATGAATGTTAAAAATATTTCATTTTCTAAACAGCACTCAAACCCAACTGTGCCCATGTTTTCTGTACGATGAATCTTCAGATTTGTCCTGATGGTACACGCGCTCCAATTCCAGCTGGTGGATGCTGTCCATCATTGAGTGCTTGCCGACCAAATATTCAGTCAATCAAACGTATGTTAATCTATTGATTTTGAAATAAACTACTTCCAAAAATAGAACACGTATCTAGAGGACTTGATATAAACGACATATTAGAAACCTTAAGGCGTTTGATATGCTCATACAACTTTGGTGGTTTTTAGAAAAAGCTTCGCGAATACTAGTAGATTACTCTTGATAAGGTGTTATCTGCTTATAAAACATATTTTGCCAGATGTCAGATACTTATGATTTAGTATAAGCTCTAGCATTCATTTTCATAACCTGAGAACAGGTTTTTGAACATTATCGCAGACTAACAATTTCATATCTTCATCATATTATAAGCTTTCAATGTCCTCCTCGCCCTTCTCCTTAATAGAAGCTCTGCAGTCTTCTATTGTGATGAGTTCTGCTTGTAACAGACCGAATAAATATCATGTACACATTATACAATATAAATCAAATGTTACAAACTATTTTTTAATAGCCATTAGTCGCCGAAGCAATCCATTAGGTTCACTTCTTTCTGGTACCAATATTTTACAAACATTGACCAGTGCTACACATGGTACTAATTTGGGAACAGCTTTATCAATTTTAAATTTACTTAATAATGTTCATCAATTATCAAATGATGTATGTTTATATTTGAATCAAATAACAAAAAAAAAAAGAATATTGCTTCTAGATTCATCAAATTCCTCTTTTGATCAATCAAACACTTGCCAACATTCTCAATGGCACAGGTCAAGCTGGTCAAGTCATTGTCGATCAATTGATTGGTGCTGTTACTAATATGACACATCAAAGTAAATCATCAAATTTAACACGAAATTTATTTCGTTTTTATTGATTTAAATAATAGATGCTGCTAGTCGAAATCTTTTAAGTGCTCTTGGTCAAAATACAAATTTACTTTCAAGTATTGGCCATCTGTTACCACAAGGTACATCAATTTCGACCATTCTTTCCATTCTCAGTTTATTAAACAATGTTAATCAATTTAATCATGATATTCATCAAATACCTGCTGTACTTAATGAAACATTAGCTCACATTGTTGCCGGTGCAGGTCAAGCTGGTGAAGTTGTCGTTCAACAATTACTTGGTCTTCTTGGTTCTAATAGTAAGTTGTGTTTGTATATGCTTTTTGTTTTTTAAAATAACCATCGAATTTTTAATATTTTTTTATAGCCGCTTCAAGTCGAAATCTTTTAAGTGCTCTTGGTCAAAATACAAATTTACTTTCAAGTATTGGCCATCTGTTACCACAAGGTACATCAATTTCGACCGTTCTTTCCATTCTCAATTTATTAAACAATGTTAACCAACTTAATCATGATATTCATAAAATACCTGCTGTACTTAATGAAACATTAGCTCACATTATTGCAGGTGCAGGTCAAGCAGGTCAAGTTGTCGTTCAACAATTACTTGACCTTGCTGGAAGTCAATCACAAGGTATATTCGATCAACTTTTTCTTTTTCAATTATGATAAATATAATTTAAATTTGCTTTCATTTTAGCTGCTAGCCGTAATCTTTTGGATTCACTTGGTCACAATGCTAATTTATTATCAACTGTCTCACATCTTTTACCACAAGGTACATCAATTTCAACAGTTCTTTCATTATTAAATTTATTGAGCAATGTTAATGCTCTTAATACTGACCTTCATCAAATTCCAGTTGTTCTTCAAGAAACCCTTCAAAATATCCTTAATGGTGTTCAAAATATTTTACCACCAACAATTCAACCAGTCCAAGGATCATCATAAAACAAATACATTTTATATGACCAGTATTAAATTGAAATAAATTTTTAAAAACAAATCTAGTCTTTGTTTTTGAATAGTTTCTATAACTTGCTGTGAAAAAATAAAAGAAAATCCAGGTCATATCTACTGTATTCTTTCAATGATTAGTTGCGGCAGCTGAGATTGTTTGATTTCAATTGAAATATTTATTTATTATTGATGATTTCAGTAAAATGAACATTGAAATTCTATAGATATATTAAAGAAAGATTAATAGTAAAACAGATGTCGTAGGTTAACGACTACGGAATAGATTTCTAAATTCTGCAATAATAATATAGATGATTTCTCTTTGATTTCACATAAAAATGTAATTCGAAAAAATTCCAAACTGGATTTCAAAATCCTATCATTAGATTATTGTTGGTGTGTTTTTTTTAACCAATGATGAAATTCTCTTTTTGTCTATGTACCATTGTTCGTGTATATGTTCAACCACAACTATTTCATTTCATTCTATTATTCTGGTTTCTAGAAGGTAGGTCACTTTAATGAAAGTGAAATACGATTCAAACAGATGACTGTTTTTTATCTTAAAAAAAAACGATTCAATATAAAATAATTAGTTTTCTAGATGCCTTCGGATATCGTTATTGACGGTGCTCGTTGTCTCGAACGTATTCGCAGACTTTATTCAGTCTGGCGAGTAAGAAAAATTGTGTATAAAAGAAAAAAACAACATGTTTTTCTCTTCTATTCATTTTTAGAATACTGAGGGAGCTGATAGTTCGACCGATGACAATAATACATTACATTCTGTTGATGCTATTGTGATAATACGAGGACAAAAAGAAGATGATTTTACATATAGTAAAAGTGCTGCTATGCAGGTTCATTATTTAGTCTTTTTTTATTATTTGTAATTAACTAATAAGATTTTTTTTCTTGTATTCGTAGACATGGTTATTTGGTTATGAAATGCATGATGTTCTTGTTGTCTTTTGTCAAGATTCAGTTATCATATTTGCTGGTGCAAAAAAACTTAATTATCTTAAAAAAGTAAATATATATATATGTCATTGCTCGAATATATTGAATTTATATATTTCTTTTTATTTAGATTGAAAGTGAACATAATAATAAAGAGAATGCACCACGAAATTTTAATTTTATAACACGTAAAGAGAATGATGAAAAAAATTTTGATGATATTATTAAACAAATTAAAACGAGTCATCAAGGAAAAACCTTAGGTGTATTTTCTAAAGATAAAATGGAAGGACCATTTTGTGAACAATGGCAAAATTGTTTAAATCAACATTCATTGACAACAGTAGGATATATTTCTTTCTTTTAAATAGAATAGTTTATTTTACTAAATTATTAATTTTAGGTTGATATCAGTAATTCTGTTGGTTATTTACTTGCTGTTAAAGATAATGAAGAACTTAGTTTAATACGTAAAGCATGTGAAATAACTGGAAAACTTTATAGTAAACATTTAAAAGATCAAATAATAAATATAGTTGATTCTGAAAGAGTATGGAAAAGAAGAAAAAAACAAAAGATTACTATTTCTTTTTTTTTTATTTTGAATTTTTTTTTTCTTAGAAAGTTAAACATTCGAAATTATCTGAAGGACTTGAATCAGCATTAAATGATGAAAAATATGTTTCGAATGCAGATGCAAATTATGTTGAAATGTGTTATCCAGCTATTGTACAAAGTGGAGGGAATTATAATCTTAAATTTAGTGCGAATGTGTAAGGGAATACAAACTATAATAAAATGAAAAGAAAAAAAAACAAACTTTTTTCGAACGTCTGAATTTCGGCCCAAGTTTACTACATTAGTCTCCATGAAAAGCCTTCTTTGTATGAATAATTGGTACACATCGAGAGAATCACTTGAAGTGACACTTGCTATTTGAGCTCATATTGGGTTCACAGGGAGGTCTTGCTTAGGATAGAAAAGTCTTACAACGTGACAAGCAGTACGCCTTTAGACCAAATCACAATTCTAGGGTTCTCTCCGCCAAACTGGCATCGTGTGAAGTACAAGGTATTTAAATTACACTAGAGTTATGACATTCTGCAGAGCAGATTGCATTTCGAGAGATGTCACTATGTGTCAGTAGACGAATAATATTATATGCATTGCGTAGGTGAAATGCTGCAGTTGGAGTTATTAGTTGTGCAATCAGTAGTTAGGTTACTGGAAAACCTACGCGGGAATCCTTATTATCAAGCTTGAGCTGGTTATTACAGGTTATTTCAGGTACATGCCAACAGCTTTTGGGAATGGTTAGGTCTTCCTTATAAGTCCCTAAGTGTACATTATTATTAAACGAAAGAAACTAGACTAAATGCTGACTTTTGAGAATAAGAGTTCCCTTTGGATACAGTTTAGACTGTACCAACAGTTCATAAGAATAAGGCTTTTGTTTTATGGTGAATGATGCGGTTAACTTGGACTCAAGCCGAAATTCATGTAATCTATTTTATTCGTTTATTTAGTGATAAAAATCTACTTCATTATGGTGGTTCATCAATTATATGTGCTTTTGGTATTCGTTATAAATCATATTGTTCAAATCTTGTTCGTACACTTTTGGTTAATCCATCAGAAGAAATGAAAAAAAATTATCAATTTTTACTTGATTGCGAAGAACTTATTTTGAAAGAACTTAAACATGGTATATAGAAAAATTATTTTGTTTTTATTATAATTTAACATAGTGATTTAAAATTTTTTTTTTAAAGATGTTCCATTATGTGATGTTTACAAGACGGTACGAGTAAAAGTTGAAAAGGAACGACCAGGATTTCTTAATAAAATGACAAATAATTTAGGGTTTGTTTTAATTGAATAAGAAAACGTTCATATGTATATAATATAATTCTTTTATAGAACAGCATTAGGTATTGAATTTCGAGAGAGTACTATTGCTATAACAAGTAAATGTACAGCACGAGCACAGAAAGGTAAATAGAGAAACAAAAATAATAAGATTCTTATGATAAAATAATTAATTATCTTTCAATAGGAATGACATTTCAAGTAAGCATTGGCTTTTCTGGTTTGGAAAATCCTGATGGAAAAGATGAACAATCAAAAACTTATGCTTTATTTGTTGGTGATACAATTGTTGTTAATGAGGTAAACAAATACGAACAATATCTATCATACATATTTGAATATTTTAGAATGAATCTTGTACAATCTATACATCATCAAAAAAAGATATTAGTCATATTGCTATAATTTTAAAAGATGATGGTACACAAGAAGATAATGTTGATGATACACCAGCAATAGCACCACGACGTGCAGCTGCAGAAAAAGCTCGAGTAAAAAAATTTTATAGATTAAAAATTTTTTTAAAAACTTCTCAGCTTTATAATAAAGACTGATCCATCTGTACCTGAAGAATCACGACAAGAATATCAAAAATCATTATTACGTAAATTGAATGAACGTGCTGAAGCTCGTTTAACATCACAAGGTGATAAAGTATCTGCAGAAAAGTAAATATCATAATGACAATTTGAAACAAAAAAGAAAACTTTTTTTTTTTTTTTGTATTTCATCTAGAGCTCGTAAAATTAATAATTCATATAAATCAGAAGGACAATTACCACAAGATCCTGATATTCAAGATCTTAAACTTTATATGGGTATGTTAATAGAATGAAATTAATTACTCAATATAAACTATTGGTTTTTTTAATTTTTTTAGATAAACGATATGAAACACTTATTTTACCAATCAATGGAACACCAACACCATTTCATATTTCAACAATTAAAGTACGTTAAAATAAAGTTAACATTTTTATTTAAAACAAGAATATTAAATTTTATTATTTGTTTTAGAATGTTTCATTAGCTGTTGAAGGTGAATATATTTATTTACGTGTAAATTTTTTTCATCCAGGTGGTATTGGTAAACAAGCTGATACAATTGATAAAGAAAATGTTTATATTAAAGAATTGTATGTAAAAATAAATTTGATGTTTCTTTTTTTGTTTTTTGTATTTTAATAAATAAATAATTTTCTAGAACATATCGTGCATCAACTGATAAAAAAGATGATGTTGTACCAGCATCAAATAATCTTTCGCATATTCATAAATTAATTCTTGAAATACAAAAGAAATTTAAAGATCAAGAACAAGAACGAAAACAAATGGAGGTATGTTGAATTGTAAAAATAGAATTCTACGTCGAAGTATGATTAGAGATGTGTGGAGGGAATGATTTTTCTCTGGTAATTTGCTGTTATATTTTTAATCTTTCAATAGAACAGATTGCTTATGAAAACGGATAGTTCTGTTTGTCAAATTGCACAAAGAAACTGAATAAGGTCATATTTGCAGAATAATATATAAAAAAGGCAGAAGATAAGAAAAACATCAAAGTTATGATTTTATCGTCAACATATCTAAAATTCGATTAATACATATTGCAGGATCTAGTTCAATGTCTGAGCGCCAACTTTAAGTGGTTCGTACAGAACATGTTTTGATAAAGTAAATTATTAAGTATCCGATGAATATCTTATCTTTAAATACATAAATTTCCGCTGGATCGCATAAAAGATTGAGTTTCAAATTGTAGCTTATAATGAAGAATTGTTTAGTTTACAAGATATGCAGATCAATCGTGTTTGATAGCCTAGAAAGGTCGCGCTATTAGCTATTGTTTTCTTTCAAACTAAACTTTGTTTTTTATTATTTAATAGGGTGTTGTTAAACAAGATGCATTAATCCTTAATCCAAGTAAAACCAATCCAAAATTAAAAGATCTTTATATTCGACCAAGTTTATCAAATAAAAAAATCAATGGTACACTTGAAGCACATACAAATGGTTTTCGTTATACATCAGTACGTGGTGATAAAATAGATATACTTTATTCTAATATTTCACATGCATTTTATCAACCATGTGATAATGAAATGATTGTACTTATTCATTTTCATTTAAAACATGCTATTGTATTTGGTAAACGAAAACAAACTGAAGTACAATTTTATACTGAAGTTGGAGAATTAACAACTGATCTTGGTAAACATCGAAATATGCACGATAAAGATGATGTACTTGCTGAACAAGTAAGATTTAATATTCGATTATACGATTTTAGTTTTATAAAATAATTATGATGTCTTTTGTTTATTTTATTAGGCTGAACGTGAATTACGTAATAAATTAAAAGGAGCTTTTCAAAGTTTTATTGACAAAGTATTACAACAAAAAAATTTTCCATTTGAATTTGAAACACCATTTCGTCCATTGGGTTTTCATGGTACACCACATCGATCAATGGTATTAATTTTACCAACAACATCATGTGTAGTTCAATTAACTGAATGGGTATATTAATAAACTAAAAGTTGTAATCTTTTCTTTTTCTATTAAATTTTTTTTATTTTTTATTTTTAAGCCACCACTTGTAATCGTACTTGAAGAAGTTGAACTTGTTCATTTTGAACGTGTACATTTTCAATTAAAAAATTTTGATATGGTATTTATAATGAAAGATTATTCGAAAAAAACACAATCTATTCAAGCAATACCCATGGCTGAACTTGATCCAATTAAAAATTGGTTAAAGTAAAATAAAAAATTTTATTATTTCATTATTAGAAGAAAAATTTTTTCAATTTTAGTTCATGTGATATATGTTATACTGAAGGTCCACAATCATTGAATTGGGCAAAAATTATGAAAACAATTACGGATGATCTTAATGGATTTTTTGCTCAAGGTGGTTGGACATTTTTAGAAGCTGATAGTGATGTTGAAGGTGATGGTGAAGGTGGCGGTGGCGGTGATGATTCAGATGCAGAAGAAGATGATTATGATCCAGATGAAGAAGAAAGTGAAGAAGAAGGTAAGACAAAGTATTAATAATATAGTTTATTTTACTTTTTTTTTTAAGGATCAGAAAGTGAATATTCTGCTGAAGAAGATGATGAAGATTTTGATGATGAAGCCAGTAGTTCAGGTATATATGAATTTTTGTCTTTGTAAGGACAAGAAGATAATAATAAATTTTTTTTTGTTTATTTAGATGAATCTGATAATTTAGGAACGGATGAAGAATCAGGCAAAAGTTGGAGTGAACTTGAAGAGGAAGCAAGACGAGGTTTATTTCATTTTTTCTTCTTAACAATTCTTCATTAGTGTCTATTTTTTTTTTGTATTTAGCTGATGCTGAAAAACTTGATTATGATTCAGATAATGGTGGGCGAAGCAAGAAAAAAGGTGGAACTTCAACAAAAAAAGCTTCTCCGGTTAAATCTAAGAAACGACCAGCTCATTCGCCACCACCAACGAATGGCAAAAAGAGAAAGAGATAAATAGGAATAAATTAATTGTTATTCATATTCCTTTTTTTTTGTATAGATTCTTCTCATGTAAAACTTTATTTGTTCATTTATTTTTTTTTCGTGTCCAACACATTTGTTGTAATGAAGATGTAACAGAGAATCAATAAAAAAAAAGATTATCTCTATTCAATTAAATGAATTAAGTCACTGTGTCAATATAGTCTTGTTATACTATTGATTCAGTTGAAATATGCGTCATAGATATCAACAGAAACGAAGAAAAAACAAAATGAGATGTTCGTTCTTTGCTTCTTCGTCGTTGTCGTCCTGTTCGTTCTCCTCCTTCTCCTCCTCTTCTTAACAAACCTCCTTTTCTTGCAAATATTGTCTGACGAAAATTTCTTCGTCTTTTTTTTCGAATAGCAAATATCTATTCAACATATTCTCAATAAAAGATACAACAATATGCCATCAGTATGGCAGTATACATTGTCAGCTATGTTTGTCAAGTGTCAACATCTTTAATAATATCATGATAATGATGACAAAGTGAATGTATGCAGCAGAATCGATTAGACTTGTTCAATGTTCGATGAAAGAAGAAAAAAAAAAGAAACTAAAGTTTAGTCTTTATCAACTTCATTCAAAATTTTAACCGATCATCTACCTATATATGTATATATGTGTATGGAAGATATGCAATGCCAATAGATACAAACAAAAAAAAGAGTGCATTTCATTCAACCATTACAACAATCAAGCCTAAGAAAAAATGGCAAGTCTATATTACAGAATTTTTTCTTTTTTTTGTGTTATTGCTATCTTAAAGTGTTAAAACTTTAGTAAAAGGCGCGACAAGTAAATTATGTAAGGCGACAAGAAGAAAGGGAAGAAAAAGGAAGAAGAAACGGAAACTCATTTTTATATTCGAGACGAGCGACAACAACGACGACGATTCCCCAAAGACCCACTTTCACTCTATTCTATTAGACTACCTATCACCTTGCTAGTTACAACTCGAAGCGTTACTGTAGCACACATACGCATACATACTCACATAGTCATGCACGCATGTAGAGAACAGCCCTAGAGAAATTAGACTTGTGCCGGCTATTAGACATGTTATATGTCGACATACACGACAGTTTTATGGGTTTTTACCTCTATAACACGTCATTGATAAGAAAAATATGTTAGTTTTACTTAGTAAGACAACTTCTGCTTTTTTAATAACTTCATCTCATTAAGCATTCATAACCGAGAAAAAAAACAAACATAAAAAAAAAAATATTCAAGTAAATCAAATATCAAGTGTTTTAAACAGTAGTTTTCCTTTCTTTCTTTCTCTCTCTCTATCTCCTTTACTCCTTTTCTTTTTTCTTTTTATTTTATTCCCTTGTGATGTAATATAGAATGTCGACCATTTGTATTTCAAAATGAAACAAAAGAAAAGTAATAACTTGTTCTAGTCATCGTCGTCAACCACATGAAAAATATTCTGTAAAAAAAAAAAAAAAAGAAATTCAACAGCTGAATGGCGCAAGTACTCCTCAAATGACAACTAAACAAACTGCCTGTCGATGCAAGCTGACGTCCTATTTAAAAGATAAGTGAATGAATGAAAGAAAGAAATTCTAGCAATTAAGAAGCTATAAGTGCGGGTTTTGTTGATAATTCGGACATTGATATTCTATTTGTTCGTTGTCGTCAAAACCTGTATTGAACTGGCGTAATGAACAACAGTAATTATCAAGATTTATTGAACAATAATGAAAGTATGTAGGAAAAACTTTTTTCTTACTTTGATTGACATCTTAAACCTTTTCTTTTTCTTATCAGAAAACTCTTGGTTATACAAGAATTTTTTTTGTTAATGCAAATCTATTTGTCGAAAAAAGATAGAATGTATTTTTTCTAATGTTACCTGAAACGTTTTTTCTTTCTTTACTGAATGTAGAATAAGTTTATTTGACAAATAACTACATTGATTTTAAAGAATTGCAATATATATTTACTAATTTTAATAAAGTGTAAGAATTCTACTCGATAGGTATTTTATTAGTCATTATTCAAACAGAAGAATCTCTATGTTAATTGTAGTAGTAATCTTTTAATACTCAACTTGACCAGATTTATAAAATGAGATCTATAATGATAATTACTTTCAAGCTCCTAAATAGATGTCGTATTAGATTGAATATCTAAAATAAAAGAAAACTTTGTATTTTTTTCTATTCGCAATTCTCCTTGTTGACTGAAATCACTGAACAATAAACATGTTTCATTAATTAGAAACTTTCTAAGAACAATAATTGTTTTGAAATTTTTGACTTCTTTTTGTTAAAAGAATATATTTTATTTGGTTATATTTAAAATAAAATTCTATTGCTCTTCCTAAGTTCTATAGTTGAGAATACTTGACAAAGTCTCTTGATGTAAATGACTAAAACAAACATGTCTTGATAAAATCTTTTGTATTTTTCCTTAAGCTGGGAAAAAAGAAAAAGAACTCTTGATAATTAGTTTATATCCTTTGCTGTTAGACACAGGAATATATTAATTTAATTTTGTTCTATACATTTTTGGAGACTTTATTTCTTCGATTTTCAAGTGGTAGAAATTCATTGAGAAAAAAAAAAAGTTATTTTTAATATAAAAGAAAACTTTATTGCATATTCATTTGTAACAATAAAAGTCACAATGATGTAATATCAAAAAATTCGAATGCTCTATAGTAATTGTTATTGTATGCTCACTTAATTCACTAGAGATGATATCGTAAGTCCCTAGTATATATTAATCGACAGAAAACAAAAATTCATTTATTCTTGATCACGAAACGCTCGATTTAGTTGTTAAGGAATCATATACATAAGTAATCAACAAGTTCTTTTTGCTTCCTACAATGACATGTTTATTAAGAAACAATGCAGAAAAAGAAAGAAAGAAAGAAATATATAGCAGAGTTTGATATAATTATAATCGATAAGAAGTTGATCTTTATAAAATTTTTAAATATATTCTAAAAATAAATTGTTCTCTTTTTTTTTTCTTGCTATCACATCTCAAAGTTCAAAATGAAAACTCATCATAGTTTTAAAAAAATAGTTTCTTTTTTTCTAATGTAATCTACTAAGTGTTAAACGCAACAGCTCGGTTAGGTAGAAATGCTTGACAGAGCGTAACATTAGATATCAATCTACGCTCAATCTTGAGTAAATTATGGTTTTTTTTAATTTCACAAAAGTAAAGAGAAAATTTTCAATTAGCTTGAAGTAATCACAGGAAAATGTGCAACGGAAAACTTTTAACCGAAATAAAATTTAATTCTGTAAAACGTATAATATGTAATCAGTAGTGGCGTGAGCTGAGGAGTAAGGTGCAAGAGCCTACTCCTCTGATAGTGTTGTAGCAGGAGTAAGACAATTACTGACAAATACAAAAGTGGTTGCCCACAGATTATTTAGAAATGATACCGGATGTTCCAGGCTGAAAAATCTTGATACACATATATGTACAAAGACCTTAGTAGTGTCATTTTAATACATTATATTTTGTTGTGATCTAATCAAGTAAACCAGAAAGATCAGTAGATTAAGTTTTCCGATTTTCTGGATTACTACCATGCAAATTTCGACAGTGTCCAAATTTCATTGTAATTTGCAAAATTTTTAATTAAAGTGGAATTCGTACAATACTGTCGAATTACCATAATTGTATAAATTACTCAGAAATGACGGCAATATTTACAATAATTGAAATTGTACCTTTTAATGAAAACAGAGTTTCTCTTGTTTCTAAGCTAATATGATGCTAAGTATTACTATGTAAGCAGTGAATACCAAAACATAAACTGAATTTATTATTTATATCAATATCAACAAAAGAAAAAAAAATGTGTGTAAATGTGACTTGAAGCATGCCTGCACTGGCATCTACATCCAGAAAGAACAAGAAAAGCAGATGTACGTCTTTAAAACATGAGTCTGTAACAATTATTCAAAAAATTCAATATCATATGAGCTGAAATACAAATGGTTTACTACAATCTCTATTGTTATTTGTACTGTCAGAATTCCATTGGAATTCGAACAATACAATTTCCAACAACAAATGGTCTTGTCGTTATTTCTTATGAATTTAGATAATAGTGGAAATTTGACAGTCTTATTCAAATTCATGGGGCAAAACTTCAACTGATCAAAGTCTAGTTTACCATATTTTTCATTATACCAATGATCATAATAATGACCGTTCAACGGTATGTTTTTTTTTGTCAAAATACTCTATATTCCGCTTAAACTGGCCAATGCTTGAACGAGCTTTCATTTTCGTTGAGAGTAACGAACTTCTCTTCAATAAATGTGAGTTATTGTGATAGCAATAAGATTTTAAAAACTTGTAGACCAATTGGTTTTTTAATTGCTCATTTCTCAAAATAATTTTGTTGAGGAGCGTCACATGACTGAGCATAATGATATAATCGAGCGTTGGTATAGACTTACAAAACATAACGATAAATTGTCTAAAAAAAAGTGCCAAAAAATTCATTCCATTGCAAAAAATAATGACTGTAAGATGGAAGTGAATAATGTCAAACAATTTATATGATGGCACATTTTCTTGTAAGGAAAAACGGATTCTTTCCAAGAAATGTTTCGATTATTGCTAAATTCACTAGAATAAATTGAAAAGAAATAATGAGTTATAGATCTATTTGTTTTCTTCTTCAAAACAAAAGGTCAAATTGCCTGATCATTGGAAAAGGTTAAATAACAAAGATCCCATATTGTGTTGGAATGAGGATAATATAAAGATGAATATTGTTATGTTTTTTACTAAGACACATTTCAAAGTTTATTTTGAAGTAAGCTAAATACGCTTAGAAAGATATGCAAGCTTATTTATTTTCAGTCTTTTCGTGGCTCATCTTAATCATGTTAGCTTGAACCATTTCTTGAGTCACACATTGACAATAGACAGTAAGAAATTTCTTAATGTATATTATTTCTTTTAAATTATTTTATTTTTTTTGTCTGTCTTTTATATAGTGATGATATCAAAGGGAAAATTGAAATAATTAAAAAGCATAATGCTGCTCTTAGTATTATCAATAAAGAAGGTTAAAAACAAGTGTTAATCATGATAAATATGAACACCAATCGGATGAATTTTTTTTTCATTACAGCAAGAGATTTTGTCAAAAACTTATTCTAGAATGTTATATTTACTCGTATTGACTTTATGTTAATATCGTAACAAAATAATACAGAGTGTATCGTACGAAATAAAGCAGTTGTTGATTTATATTTAGTTTTCTTTTGCCACAAGAAGGAAAAATGTCTCATAGCCCTACTTCGATTAACAGAGAGTTGTCTTTTTAATAGCACGAACGAGTACTCTACATAAGTATTCATAGAGAGATTGAACCTCTATTCTTTAATTGTTAAAATGGATGATCGTTTGTTAAACTAATTACTTTAACAGTTGTCATTTTCTATAGTATTTGAAATTATATAAACATATATACCAGATGTTTGAGAACTGAATTTCTAGCTACTACTTCATCAATTTTTTTTTTACTTCTACCACAATTCTTGTATACTTTTATTATGTATTATTTTTCTTCGACATGTCAAACCACTTTAGAGAAAATATTATGTTTAGTTTTAAAATCCTATGAATTCTCTTTTTATCATCTGTAACAAAGTACATTAAAAACCGCGAATCTCCTTATAATTATTCATTTTATTGAATTATTTAAAGAATAATGATAATCATTTGACATGAGGAAAGTATTTAAATCCTTTGATACATTCAATCGTTTATCAATATAAAGACTTTTGACTTCAGTATAATCGTAACTATTGCAACATCTCTTGTAAAATTATTAGTAATATTGTTGTATTGTCTTATTGAACATAAATACGTATAAAAATGACATTGACCATTATGTAAATTGAAAAATAGTCAACCTACTTTCTACGAGAAGTCAAGACCTTTTCAAAGTATTAGACTTGTTCAGGCAACAGAGTCCAGAACCGTTTATTCAAGTTTCTCAAGTAATCTCGCAAGCTTTATCATCCATGTTGACAATAAATGAACTATGAAAGAGTTTGAAAATACTATTACAAAGATAGAGTTAACTCCATGACTAATTTGAATGCCGTTTTGAAAGGTGAAATAAATTTATCTATTTCTTTCGACCATTGATTGTAAATTTTAACTTTTCATAAAATCCAACAGTCATCGCATTCATTGACAGTTATTGCAAGTGCGATTGAACCTACTAGAATCTTGGTCTAATGTTTGTTACGCGGTAAATAGTTTTGAATTGTGAACTTATTTCAAAGTTTGACTTTTATATAAAATTCGATCGAAAATAACGAAAACTTTTTTGCGCATTTTTCAATACAGAAAAGCTTTATAGTATGTCCATTCGATTTCTACTACTTTGAAGCACTAATGCATTAGACATCACCTTTCTCCGATTTTTGAAAATATACGATTCCCTTTCTACTCCTATTTCCTCGCGCCACCACCGTATATAACTAGATGACATCTAAGCTCAGAATGTGAAGTATTCCGAATTTCTGTTTTGGATTTTGGATTTTCGACATTGCGAAGATAACAAAAACTCTTAGTATCTATCGAATGGGTAAAAATTTACTGTTCTTATTGAAAGTCATTGTTGAATTTACATCTAATCTTGTTATGATTATTATGAAAAAACACATTCCTGAATTCAATTTGTTCATATTAGGAAATTGTTGGGAAATTACATGTATAACCAAACATTTTTTTTAAATACAATAGATAGCGAGAGTTCGTGTTTAAATATAAGCTTTGCCTATTGTATTCATACTTACGAATGAGATTATATTCATTTATATTAATATCAAGCTTCGATAAAGAAAGAACTTTCATATTTTTCACGCTCGTTTTTTCCTGAATAATCACAAGAAACAGTATTACTAGTAGCTCCCTATAGATTTCTGTTTATCAACCAAAAACATGTCAACAATTATTCATTGAAAGATGATAATTGCATAGATCAACGTCCAGTCTCGCTTCATTTATGAACAACATGAAAAAAAAAATCTATAGAATATTTATAATGTTTACATTTTACTTTGGACGAACGAAACATCATACAGAAAATTTGAATAAAATTTGTCTCCTATCGAAATATCAACGTCTTAGCTTCAGATAATGTACCGTTCTCAAGATTATCGCGTCACAGCATAGGAATTTTGATTCCAAAATTCGAGAAAGAAAAATCAGTGTAAAGTGGTTCGCACCTTAATAGACGCCTTCAGCATAATCTCATGATATTGAGTATGATTATTTGAATCTTTTATTTTGTACAAGTTGAACTACTCGAGTTACTTTCTTGTTTGAACAAGATATTTTTAAAGCAACATCAATTGAAGTTATTGTTTTTCGTTTTATTATAACTGAACAACTAAAGATTTGTTTCTTTTTTTTGTTAAGTTCATTTTGTCCTATTGTTATTATTAACATTAACATCATCATCATCATCATCACCTTTTTGTATATCTTTTGTATATTTACTAAAATCAAATTCTTTATCATAACCTAACATTTTAATTAATACTTGTTTATCATAAAAATCGTCATGATTAATAAAGTATGGATTTTTTTTAATCAACATTGATGTAAACATTCCAGTTATTGGAGGTACTTCAACATCTTCAGCACGAAATCTTATTTGTCTTTCCATCATAAAAAAATTTTTATAAAAACCCGTAAATTGTCCTGTTTGTTCATGATAATATAATGATGTTAAATATCGTTTACATATTAATTGTATAAGAGATGGTGTTAAAAGAACAAATGTTGCTGATATTATTGTATAACCAATAGCCACAAATAAAGATGTTTCTTCAAGAATTTTTGGTATCATAACTGGATAACAAATAGCACCACCAATGCTTGATGCTAATGAAAGTGATTTAGCGGCTTTAAATGGTTTATCTAATTTTCCAACATACACAAGTTTACCAAGCATATCTTGACGAAGTTTTTCACGTTTTGATAATGGATTATTAGAATTCATATGAACGGATGAAACATTTTGGTTAGATTTTAATGAATTCATGTCAGTTGATGAAACATTTGGATTAGATTTTAATGAATTCATATCAATTGGTGTTGGTCTATAATCACCTTCTTTTATTTTTTTAAATGCTTGAATTAAATTTGGATCAACAAAAAAATCTTTTGCCTTTATTGAATGTTCTTTATGTTTTTCTTGTAATGAACTAGTTAAACGAATAAAAGCATTTAAACGAAAGAACTTCGTCTGTTGACAAACAACAATATTTCGAATAATGGATAACATTATCTACAACAAAATAATGATTTACTTCCAATTCAGTTCTAATATTACCAATGACAATGATTCATCATTGTATTTAATAGAGAATGGACTAAGTTGTATAAACAAGAATACTAGCAAAAAAAATATAAAAGTTGTCAGTGTTTATTACACACAAGTACATTATATATATATATATAATGAAAAAAGATAAGTTGTTTGTTTTTATAGCTTTTTTCCATTGAATTTCTAATTGTAAAGCCTTGACAATAAAGCCTTCTCGCCTTCTCCTTTAAAAAAAAAGTCAATTTTAGTGAAAAAAATAAGAAAATTAAGATAAATGCATGGGAAAACAATCCGAGATGTGATCTTTCATAAATCATATGAGCTTTTTATTTGACATCTAGTTTTTCAGATAAAGTGAAAAATCTTTTTCGTTTTTCCTGTTTATGTTCTTTGAATCGTGCATCTTGAAATGCTCGAAGGAGCGTCTTTGTATTGAATTGCTTTTTTCTTGTTTCAAAAAGTATGTCAAGATTCAGAGAGTGACAGAGTGCATTTTTTCAATTAAGCCTTATTACTATTATGTAAGAGTACCCTTATGATTAGAGCGTTGTTTTTGCAATGTCTTTCAAGACATTGAACTTCCCTCCTCTTAAAAAAGTAAGAATTAAAAAAAGAGATCTTTCATGCTCTGCATCATGACATACTTTTTCAAACAACGAAAGAATCAAGTCTATAGAGTGAAGTACCGTAGAGAATTTAGGGTCGCCACATGAGCTATTTTTAATCCTTGTTAAGTTGAATATGTCTCGAAACGATCATATTATATGACTGAAAGTTTTATCATAGCTGCTTCACCATAATCTCAACATATTCTGAAAATTTCATGCAATTTGAATGCACCTGAACCAAGATCGATTTTTGAGATGGGGGCTTAAGTACAACTGCATTACTATATCTACCCTGGTCGAAAAGTACAGGCCGGTTCCGGCAGGAAAACACCGGAAATCAACGGAACATGGAAGCAGTATTCCGGCCGGAAATTTTTCGGATTTTTTTCCGGTGGATTCCAGCCAATTCCTGTTCTTTCCGGCAGGAACCGGCCGGAAATCCGCCGGAAAAAGTCCGAAAAATTTTCGGCCGGAATACTGCTTCCATGTTCCGTTGATTTCCGGTGTTTTCCTGCAGGAACCGGCGATTTTTCCGCGTCTTCCCTGCCGGTTCCTGCAGTATCCGGTGACCGGAACGATCGACCTGGGTAATTGTGAACTATATGTTATTAGTTATTTATTTTTTCTATCGAGTATGCATGTCTTAATAATGATCATTGACATGTTATTAAATTTAACTCAGACTACTAGATGAATTTTGCTCAACCAATGATCATTCAAAAATGAAAGCTTTAAAGCTAATGGTGGACATAATTTAGAGCAGTTGTATTTTCAAGTTTTCTTCTGGATAGTGTTAGCTAGCACGAATTTAAAAAAAAAATATTTGCGTTGCTGAATGAATTCTCTATTAAGATTGGTATACTGCAAGGCTCTGAAGACTGCTTGGATGAAGGTCTACAAAAATCGGGATCACCAAAACTAGTTTTCTGGCTTCCATACTTAGTTTTCCGGAAAAGATTTTTTCTGGTAGAGCAAAATGATGCGTTGCTGATCTCTCCATAGTCTTCCTTTATCAAACTGCATTCAATTCACAGAAGGTTCAAGGAGCATTTTTCTCTTGGTGTTTTTGGTAATTTCAATGTTTTTACCATGTTTGATCTCTCTAGAGACTTCTATAAATTGAAAGCAGTCCTATGAAGAAAGGTCTGGAAGTCTGAAAGCTGATTTTACGAGTCTTAGCTTTCCGCAGCTTCTCTCATCTAAGTCATTTTGATGACATCTACCGGCCTACCAAGCTCAATAGAAAATTCTTTCAACTGCACAAATGTTTTTTATCAGACTTTTGCTAGCTACTACCATCGACAAGAAATCTTGAATATACAGTTGCTCTAAACTTTTATCTGTCACTATAACTAATCATGAAGATAAGTGAAGGTTTGTCGTATTCATTTTATTTAATGAATTATGACCAAACTAGAAGAGAGATCGAATTGAGAAAGGATTCGAATGAGAGATTATTGAATGAGATCGAAACAGAGACTGCTGAAAAAAAACAAAACACACAACATTATGTCATTTTATTTCTTTAGCTAGTTGATCAGCCATTGTTTGTGCACGATTAAATGCTGACATAAGTGCATCCATATATGCACCACGTACACCTTTATTTTCAAGTTCATGTAAACCATAAATTGTTGTACCAGCTGGTGTGGATATATCATTTTTAAGTTCAGCAGGATGCTTACCCGATGTTATTAAAATATCAGCACAACCAAGCATTGTTCGTGCTGCTAATGTAGTTGCCAATTGACGTGAAAGACCAGCTTTAACTGCACCATCAGCTAAACCTTCAACTGCTGTACAAAAAAAAGCTGGGCCACTACCAATTAAAGCACACATTATATCTAATTCAGATTCAGTAACATTACCAGCATAATAAGCAACTTTATCAAAAATTGATTTTAAATAAATTTCAAATGCATGATTATTTTCATTATTTGGTAATGATGAGATTGCATATGAACCATTACGTTTTGCTACATTAACATTATACATAATTCGAATAATATTTTTATCAGTATGTAACCATTGAGATAATGTTGAAATAGTTAAACCTGGAATAATTGATACAAATAAAATATTTGTTAAACGGTCTTTGTCAATTTTTTTTTCAATTTCTTGACATATTGATTTTATTAATTTTGCTTTTACAGCAAATAATACAATATCACTATTATTACATAAAAATATATTTGATGTTGTCATTCGAATTGTATTACTAAAACGTTTTAATGATGATTTCTCATCGTTTCCAGATGGACAACTAATTAAAATATGCATTTTTTGAAGATAATCTGCTTCGTGAAGTCCATCAAGTAATGCTTGTACAATACGACCACCACCAATGAAACCTAGTCTTATATTATCCATCTAAATTATTTGAAATAAAAAAATTACATTAGGTTTTCTATCTAATAAAAAATAAAGTATCTGATTCTTTAATTGGTTTTTTAAATAAAAAATAGAAAATAACAGTTACAAAGAAATAACACGTATGCATTAAATTATACAAATGTATCCATTTATTTTCTTTTATGATAATGGATGAACTCTTTCAGCATGGAATACATCAATAGTCGTTTGATGACATGGACGAAGATCGAGATCATAATATCCAATAGATAGTTTAGCTTTGAATAAAACAAAAAATAATAATAATAATAGTAATGAAAACTAAAATTTAATAAGACTTACATTCTGGTGGTTTATAGAAATCAAGTCCTCGACCAATTTTAATTATCCATCCATTATTTAATCTATTAAAAAAGTAAAAATTAATTTGTTGATACAAAAAAAAAAGAACTGTCTAATGTGGACATTATGGAGACCAATCGACAGCGTTCACTTCACGGAGTTGTCTATTATTGAAAGATTTTCAGTTACAATTGCATAACCTCTGCAATCGTTTTTCGGCTGCACGAGGTGATCTTGTACTTCTTTTCAATGAATTCATTTATTCAAAGTGAGAGATAAGTGTAATCTTAATAACTCGATCATCACAACACGTAGTAATCTATGGTTTTCAGTAATCGAGGGAAGAGAACTCCGGATATCTTTTTACTTATTACACTATAAGAAAAGTTATTTTAAAACACATTATCTTTTCAAAACATTCAAAAAAAGAAATACATGAAAATGGTATTTTATTTCAAAGAAATATCAATAAAAACCAACAGAATTCTATTTAATTTAACCGAATAGATACGTGATTTCGTTAGCTCAACATTTAAAAACCAGAAGATAATGAATGGAACCGTGCCTTGGACTAGAGATTTGAAACATATGCGAAAATCAACATTATATCAGAAACAAACATCGTTTTTATGCATTCTTTTTCAAGACTTTGCGAAGATCATGGGTTGTAAAATAATTTTATCTTATGTGGTGACAGACAAAAAGGCACCCGAAGCTCTTCTCTTTCAATCGATAAAAAATCACAGCTCGCTAACTATTTCCGTTGTCTAGTGATTGAGTTTACATCCACCTGTTTCTAATTCTGACGTGAACATTAATTATTAACGCAAAAAAATATTAGATGTTAAATTAAGCGATGTTGCTATTGTCTAAAATTTGTTCTTTTCTTTTAAGTATTCACGGTCAGTTCATCCTCTTTTTCTATATGTCCCACGACTTATTCTGCACACGAATGATAGAACATGCCTTGCTCACATCACAGATATTGTGAATCCTCATGAGACTAGAAACGAGTGTCTACTAGTGTTTGTCGGGTCCAAAATTTTCAGACCCGACAGGCTGTAGCATCTAGTATGTAGAATCAGGAGATGATTATGTATAGAGGCTCATTCCTAGCGAAATTCGCTTTAACAGACTACAGACTGAGCAATTTCAGAAGATGCTCACATAAAGAGATTTTACTGTAGCCTCCTTGTTTTGGTTTTCTCACTTGATTTCTCGATCATGTAATCCAGGTAGATATTGTATTATCAAATCAATTGAATATTTTTCTGCAAGATGTTCTTTAAATTGATTTAATTGTTCAATTTGTGTTTGTTTTGCTTGTTCATTCTAATTATAGATTATCAAAATGAAAAAAAGAAAACAAAAATATGTCATTTTATCTACCGTTTCAAAACTCGTAATTAAATCAATACGTTTAATCCTTGCTGGTGATTTAATAATAACTTCACAAAAGCGTAAAAAATTGCTGATCTAAATAATAATTTATTAGACAAGTAGAAATAATTAAAAAGAAAAAAATATCATAGAGACTTGATGAAATGCTCGTATATATGGATCTTGAACAGTAATTTGTGTAACAGTATCATCTAAGAATCGATTAAATATTTTCTCATAACTATTTCCTAATGAACCATCTTTTATCTGAATTTGTTCATGATATGTTTTTGCTAAAATTAAAAACCATAAAAAAAAGAAAATTAAAATTGTATATTTATATTTTTTTATTGAATATTCAAAAAGAAAATCTGAATAAAAAGCAAATATATTTTTAAGCTTCGGTCTCATCTTTTGTATTTTTTGGCTTATAAAATGGACTAGTCAATGTTGATAGTGCTGGACTTCTTAATGCATCAAGTGGAATACTACTACGATTTTCACTACGTCTATAATTTAGATCATCATTAATTGCATCTATATTTTGTCTATATTCTATTTTTGATCCATCAATGCCTCTCGAACGTAAACGACGACAATAAAGTACAAAACCAATTATGCATAACAGTACAATTATAACACCACTAACAACACCGGCAATCATAGGTTTATGATTAGAAGGTTTAATTGTAGTATTTCCAATAGGTTTTTCCGTTGTTATAGTTGTTATTGTTCCTTGTGTTGTTAGAATTGTTGGTGAAGTTGGTAGTAATTGATTTCCAATTAAATAAAAAAATCTTGCGCCACGCCAATTACTTGACATATTTAAAGGTAATAGTTCTGTTATATTCAATATTAATTCAAGTTCATCTTTATCTGTTTGATATTCGAATACAGGTTGATCAATATTTCCACATAATGATCTTGTTATTTTTCTATCACGATAAATAATTGAATCATAACATTCAAATGTAGATGTTGAATCTATTGCTGATGTATCACGTATTGATAAATCTATAATGTACAGATATATTGAAAGTTGTTTACCCTCGGGAGTATTTGGTAATAAAATACGTAATGAACATTGTTGTGGACCATATCTATATGGATTTGGATAATTTGGTGTTTCAATAAATCCTCGATTGAATGTAACGTATGTATCAATGCAAAAAGTTGCTTTTAAATAAGTTACTGTTGGTTTCATTGGTATACATTGATAAAAGAATTGAATTGAATCACCTTTATTACCGTGACAAATATTTAATTGTGGGCCGATTGGTATTGAATGTATATATGAACAAGATTGTTGACCAGCACAGAGAGCTTGTGGTTGCTCACTTAAATAATGACATGTATGTTGTGAAATATCACATGATTCCGGATTTTTTGTAATAAATTCATATGATTGTAAAAAGATAAGACCATAATCAGGTGTACATGAAAAACTAACACGTTCACGATCAATTGATAATGCACAAAGAGTTTCTTCTTTAATAACAAATGGTTCTTGTGGTTTTGGAGGTATAATTGTGACAACATCTGAACATTGTGTTTTTTCAATGGATTCAAAATAAAATTGAAAGCCTTTATATGGAATATTATTTGTAGCTATATTAAAATTTTTATAACGAATTTGAATATTATTTGAACATGTTTCAAATAATTTACGTGTATGACTATTACCACAAAGACGAGTAATACCGATTTGTGAATCTTCAATTTCAACATATGGATCATTATCGTTGCATTGTGAACTTTGTTCACGATAAGATCCAATAGGTAAATTAAACATGACAATATATATAGAAAACGCTTTATGAGCAGAATTTTCTAATAATTTTGCTGATTGTAATGTAACTTGACATTCTCTATATTCGGATGTGTAACCAGATGATGAAACAATTGCACCACCTTCAACTCTTTCGAATACACTTGTTGATGTACATATACTAACATTTAACTTTGGTCGATTTGGAATGCATTGATATTCAGCATAGAAATAAGTTGATTTAGAATTATTACATTTCGATAATGGAACTGAAGGAGGAAATATATAACATGATGATTTTCCACCACATGTACCGTGTAAATAAGTACGTTCTTCAAAGCAATCATCAGATGAATAATTGCAACTACCTATTTTACTTACAGCAAGATCAATTTTATGTAGAACAAGACCGTAATCAACATTACATCGTAATTGGATTGATTGTTGAACACATACACTTGTTTGTAATATCATACTACTTATTGGGCCAGGTCCAACATCTAATGATGTTATTACTGTTGTTTTCATTGTTGTTGATATTCGTGTTGGTGGTAATGTAATTGTAGTTGTTCTTGGTAGTAGATGATAAAGAAGTGCAAAACCACGTTGAGATTGAGTATTTTGATTTGTTAAATTATATGAAACAAAAATTTTATCTGTTGATGAACATGTATCAAATAAAAGTTCAGCTTGACGTGTACCACATAAATATTCACGATACAGTTGATTATTACATTCATATGATAATAGAAGATAATCATCTGTACAGTCACCTGTTTCTACATTTGGTAATCCAATATCAAGATCTAATAAATACATATATATAACAAGATCAGAACCTTCTGGTGGACTTAATGTTACATTGATACATTGTGTTTGTGTATAAGATGGATATGATGTACTTTGTAATATACCACTTACTTCAAATAAGTCATGAGTTTGACTTGTACATAAATTATTAATAGTTGGAATAATTGTTAATGTTGGCAAACATTGATATGCAACAAATAGATAATTAGCTATAACATTATTACATTCTGGTAAAGTAAATATATTTAAAAATGATATAGAACATGTTTGTTTTCCTGAACATGTTCGATAAACGTGATCAGCTTCACTTGTACAGTCATTTTGAGTATAAGTACATCGTTTACCATAACCATAAAATGCTCGATGAATAACAATAATATAATTTGACGGACATTGAAAATTATTTGCACCGAATAAACTTGATAGATCTGGATAGCATAAGGTTTTAAATAATCGAGGAGATAGATAAGGAAAATAATCTGGACGTAATGATATTGTTGTTGATCCTATTGGTGGTGTAGGTGATAATGTTGGACGTGTACTAGTTGTAACTATTTCATCACATATTTCATTTGGAGATCGTTCACGAAATTCAAAATAAAATTTTACACCACGTCCTCTAGCATCAAATGAACGAATCAATTGTAATGATACAGATTTATGACATGTTTTTAGTAACATATTAGTATATGATCGCCCACACCATTCTGTTACACTAGCATCAGCTGTAATAATTAATCGATCTTTTGTACAACTTTGTCCAATTATATTTGGACTATTTAAATCCATATCAATTATATAGAGATATATATCTTGATGTGGTTTTAATATTTCTAAATCATATGTACAATTAATATTCTTTTGAGTATTAGGAAAATTTGGTGAAATTATAAATCCACGACGAATATTATCTTGTGGTTTTAAATCATTATTACATATATCATATGTATTAATATTTTGAATATCATTTGGTACACATGTATAATCAATATGTAAATAAGCTGATGGTCGATTTTGACATAATGCTAAAGTTTTAGAAAAATGAAATGCAATACAAGATGTTTTACCAGCACATATATTTTGTATTGTTGATGCATCATTTTGAAAACAATCATTTTGATTATAAACACATGATGTTGTTCCTGTACTTCCATCTGGTTTAGCTGCATAATCAGCAGTTATTATATCAATAACATAACCAGGTGAACATTTAAGTGATTGTGATTGACTTCGACATACATCATGAAATGTTGAATCTGTAACACCTATATCACAAAAACCCCATTGATGATCCTTATCAAAACTACTAGTTAATGAACACCATGGATCAGTTAGATTTTGAAGTATTGTTGTATTTGGTGGTCGATCTAAGATACAATTTGTATATTGATTGCCTTCATATGTAAACGGAAATTGACAATATTGTCGAATACCATTTATAGTTGTTCCATCATAAGCAGCAACTATAAAAATAAATGAGGAATGGAAGATAATTTTGGTTTCATTTTTATTTTTCAAATAATTTACTTTGAAGACTTGGTGGTGCTAAAGTTGTTGACGATAAAGTTTGTATTGTTGTTTTTTTCGTTGTTGTTGTAAAACCATTTGGTATACATGACCATCCATTAGGTACATCGATAGTTTTAAAAAAAACTTTAAAACCACGATATCCAAATGCTTGATGATTTGATATAAAATTAAATTGAACAATATTTGAACAACTAATTAAAACAAGATTTGGTTGTTGTAAACCACAAATAACAAGTTTATCATTTCCATCATATATTGTTAATGATGCATCATTACAATTACCATAATCATCTTCAGCTTCCAAAAACAAATCAACAATATAAATCATCCATAATTGACTTGGTAATGTTTGAATTTTTTTTGAGCAACTACTTGTTAAACTTAATGATGGATATTGTGGGCTTATTATCATACCTTTATCAATTGCAATGGTATCTGTTATTGTTGATGCACATATATCAATTGAATTTTCATTATTTGGTAATCGTGTTGGTAGACATTGGTAATCAATATTAATATAATCAGCAGTCTGATTTCCACATTGTGAAAGTCGTTTCGGAATAATATACTCAAAAACACATGAATGTGTACATATTAAACTAAGGGCAGCTTCTTGACGACAATGAAATAATGATGGAATTTCACATAAGCCTGTACCTGTAACACCATAATATGAATTTATTATTGCAAGTACATAATCATTTGAACGTGGACATTTTAATGAATCTATGGTACCAAAACATAGATGTTTATTGAAAATAGGTGAAACATCTAAATTTTGTGCCCAAATGGGTAATGGTTCATTTGCTGGTGTTGTTGATGCTGATGGATCAACTGTTGATGGATTTCCAAAGCAAAATATATTCGCTGGTTTTGTAATCCATTCATAATAAAATTTAAAACCTTTATAAAAAAGATTCGATGCTGAAGTTGTTTTATATTGTATTCTCACACTTGTACTACACATTGGTGGAAGTGCTATTTTTCGTTTACCACAATAAATATATGTTATATGTGAAGTATCTATAATTAAATAATCTTTTACACATATATCACGAACTGATGGATATCTTTGTTCGATATGGTCGAAATCGTTAACATGATTGTTTTTATAAATTATAAAATCTGGTTCGCTTGATTCATCTAGATAAAATAAATAGAAATATTCAAAAATAAGTTTTTAGTGCAATCTCAGCTAGATTAAACTATGAAACACGATGTAGTTACTCTTGCGAATCACTGGAGGATGATTTTATTTTATCTATTTTGAAATACACTTCTTCAGCATCCTTCTATTTAATCTTTCAGAAATGTAATAAATAAATAGTTCATGATATCTATTCTGTCTGTGAAACGGCCCAAATTTCTATCTCTATATTTAAACACTCTTTTTAGATCGTGTTTCCCAAAACTCATACAATGAAATTTATACCATTTAAAGTACGTTGATCACCACTTGATATAGCCATTTCATTAAGCCAAATTTTTAATACTCTATCTCTTATGCCAACAATTTCTCTTTGACATTCATTACTTGTTTGTGTATACCTAGGAAAATCAGGACTTGAAACAATCCCATGAAAACCTGCAATCGAATTATTCGTATCACAAATATCATACATTTGTAAATTTGGTGTTGATTCAATGGAATAACTTGGTACACATTGATATGTTATATGTATATAATCAGCATATCGATCTGAACAATGAGCTAATCGACGTTTATTTGAATAAGGTAAATAACAACCAGGTAAATCATTTTGACATTGTGTTATTGTTGATGTTGCATCTTGTACACAATCACCTTGAATAAAGCCACATTTATTTGATGTTTCACTTTTAATACCATAATAAGCATCAAGTATCATAAATGTATATCCAGATGGACAACTATAAATTAATACATCACCATAACAAATATCATATTCAATTTCATCAAGTGGACGTATAAATGAAATATTTGTTAGCAATATTGCTTGTGGTGTTGTTGGTATTGTATGAATAATTGTCGGATTGGTTGATGTTGATAAAACTTCTTCTCCTCCGCAAGACCAATCAAATGGATGTGCTCGAGTTTCAATATATAGTTCAATACCATAGGAATACATGTGTGAAGCATCAGTTATCTGATAACGTAAATCAAGTTCATTTGAACAACTTGAATAAATTAAACTATGGGTTCGTTGTTCACAAAAATCTAAACCTTGATTTTCAGTATCTTCAATAAATGTTATCTTATTTGATTTACAATCGTCTATATAATTATTTAAACTTATATCTAATGCATATATATGCATTATATAATTAGGTTTAGTTTTTAATCGATATGTACAATTCATTGGTATTAAAGTTGGATAATTATAACTTTGAAATCGACCATTACGATCAATTGGAATGATTGTTTTCGAACCATCGTTTCGACATGAGCTATTTGTTGAAACAAGAATAGTTTTTGTTGGTATACATTGATATTCAACATATTGATATGAAGCTATTTTATTATTACATGATGGTATAACTTCATTTCCTGTATACATATAGACGCATGTTTGACGACATAAAAATGGTGGATTTGTTGTAATAACACAATGTTTACTTGCATCATGCGCTTCACATTGATCTGATGATGTAACACCGTATATATTTGTTGTGATTGCGATAACATAATCATTTGGACATTCAATTGTATATAACTCACCTAAATAATTTTTTTTTTCATATGAAATATGAAGAGAAATATTAGGAAAAAAACAATGAATTATTTACCTGCACAAATTTGAAAACTTCGTGTCGGTGATGCAATACCTAGTATAACATAAATAGGTGTATTTGTTGATAAAGTCGATTCAATCGTCGCTATTGCTGTCGTTGTACTTGGTACTGGTGTTACTGTTATTTTTGGACAATTATCATTAATTGGTCGATCAACAATTTCAAAATACATTCTCATTCCTCTATATGTTGGAAAATTTGTCGTTACTAAATATTGTATAATTATTGTTGATGAACATATATATGGATAAGCATATCTCTTATGTCCACAATGTCGATGTGTTTGTATATTGTCAACAACATAAACATGATCATTTGCACAATTTGTACTTTCTGAACCAATATAAAGATCTGATAACCATAAACGAATTATTTTATTATTAGGTACATGTATAGTACGAACACATTCGAATGTTGTTATTTGAAAATGTGATGGATAACCAGGACTTCGAATAATTCCATTATCAGTTGTTATTTCTGTACCATTTTGACATATATTATATTCTTTTGATGTATCATTTATTTGTATTGGAACACAATCATATTCAATATGAAAATAACTACTATATTGATCATTACATTGAGATAATTTTTGTTTTGTTATATAAATTGAACATTGATTTGAATCATTTAAACATGTTACACTATTCATAGCATCAATAATACAATCACCTGGTGTATATGAACATGAACCTGAAATTCGTGCTACACCATGTGAAGCACTTCGAACAATAACAATATTATTATTTGAACAACGCATGGTGAATAATGATGGTACACATAAATCTCGTGAAACAATAGTCTGTATATTTTGTGCATGATTGAAAAAGATATATTGTAATATGTACAAGATGATATAGCTTATTTTTGACATAGTAATGAAAAATTGGCTACGGTTTTTTTTATTAGAATGGTAGCATGTGTGAGTAACGAATAGCGATGTAAACGTGAAAATAATAAAAATGACAAAAAAAATATTTTAATGTTATATTCACTTAGTTAGAGATAAAAAAAATAATGTAAAATAATGTTATCTTTAGAATTCTATTTTTTTTTCTTTTTATGTCAACTATTCTTATATCATCAATTGTATTTTGCTACTTCACAGGTCTATATGATTTTGTAGGACAGTTGTAAAAAAGAAGGACAAAAAAACAACATCTATATCAAATACTTTCTTGTCCTTTTTTTTCTAATTAAATGAAAATGATCTTCAATACCTTTTTCTTGTTGAATTAAATCTTTGAGTTTTTCAGCACGATCCATACATTCTGTGATTTTCTGTCGATATGCTGCTCGTTTTCGTTCATCACTCGATGGAATTTCTAATAAATACATGTAGAAAATTATTAAATTAGAGAAAGATAGATGATGAATGACAGAAAAAGTTGTTCAAAATAAGTGTCTTCAACAACGATGACATCATCTTTTATAATAGTTTCTGCACAATCTTTAGCATGTGTTTCAAAGTAAGTAACACTATGGATAATAATTTAATGTTCTTTTTACTTTTTATCTCATCGTCACATAAAATGTGCGCTGTTTTTAGCATATCTTCCTTCTGGAAGATAATGTCTATGTTGACTAAAAAAAAGTTCGTCTGAATTAAAAATAACTATAAAATGAATTTTCATGTGAACTTCTTCTACAGTAAAAAAAATGAAGTCATAATTTAGTTCTGATTATTATTTAAATATTTTTGAACTTGTTTGTATTCTGAAATTATTCAATCTTTTTGCAATTTTATTGAAGTAAACGCTCTGTAGAAACTATTCTTATGATGATATAAAGTTCTATTTATTTTTTCTGGCAGAAAAAAGTCTCTATGCAGATTGTCGATAGAATTCTTTTACATGCATATAAAAAGCCATAAGTCAAAATTCAAAAAACTTTAGTCTTATCATTTTTCATATGATTTTTGTTATGCTCATTGATTTCTACGGTCTGTAGTATGTTTGTCTAGCCTACGAAGAAAACTATGTATCAGTCTATTTCAATACTATTTTCATTGATCTATAGATAGAAAATACAGGATTCTTATGTGATCTGTGTTTCATGATCGAAACTAAGTATTGTAAGTGATTCTCTCTTATAAACCACTAGTGATCGAAAGTCATTTGTAAGAAGACAAGACAATGATCAGATTATTATTATTGGTATTGAGTTTCTGCGTAGATCTCTGACGAAAAAAAGCTAAATATGTCTATATTTGAATTTTTCCCTAGGTCCTTGACTCGATCAAAGTCAATACTTAACTTTTTATTCATGTATTCATAATAAAAGTTGAATGGAAAATCTTCAGAAGAGAGAAGAATGATGAAACTATTTCGAAAGAACTAAATTTTATATCTCTTACCTTTAACTGCATTCAGTAACATACGAATACCTTCGGAATAACAAGTTAATGCATCTGGAAATTTTTCTTCCTTATCAAGTTGTACGGCTCGTTTTAATAATTCGATTGCTGCTGTTTCACTCATTATCTAGAATAATATATATACGTAAATAATATTCAATTTTAGTTTTATAAATATTTAAAATACTATTCTTTTTAGAGCAAAGACTAGTTTCGTTCTGTTCAACGCTCATTAGGTAATTCATTTACATCAGAATAAACGTCTTTTTGTTTCTTCATAGTAAAATGTGTCTCTTTTCTTATAGATAAAAATAAAATGTGCGAGCTTACAAACAGCAGAAAAAAGAATAATTTAAGCAAAGAATTTTAAAATACATAGTCAAGTTTATATCATTGCTCATTTTCATCAACTATATGTAGGCACGCACCTACACGAAAACTATTCGGTTTGGAGTGTTGGTCTTCACTATTGAATTAGATCATTGATCGCTCTGATAAACAGGTCTAACTTTTTCAGCAACTTTCACACAATATCACTAGGCAATACAAGTTTTCAGTACGTGACAACTAATTAGTAATTTCGCATCATTTATAAAGAAAGCAAAATGTAACTGACTTAAAAACTAAGCTAGGTTTTTTGGTTGAATATTCAACATAACTTTATTCGAAGATGTTTCACTCACGTATTTTGAGAAACGTTTTTCTCTATTTGCCTCATGAATTAAAATCAGTTTGATGTAATCTTTATATTTTATTAAAACATATGAAAGACTATTCTTTTGTGCACGGGCAAAAATAATGAATTTATTGGATTGATTTAATATTTTTGAAGACTTTTATTTTCTATAGAAGAAATCTATAAATAAATAAATCTTATTTGACATAGGAAAGTTAAAAATAGAATAGAGTTTTTTTGCAAAACCTAAATAGGCTCATGCATAGGAGTATCGATTTATTGTTGTTATTATACTATTATATTCTGATTGATAAAATGAACCACTCACTATAAAAGTGAATTAATGAAGTTTCAATATAAGGATTATGAAGTAAATATGATAAAAGTTTTTATTGAATGGTAATATAACTATTGTAATCATGTAGGCTACATGATGTAGTCCTAGTAGCCGCTTTTGTTAATATATGAATATTAGAAATTTGTATATATTTCATATCGTTAACCGACAAGACGACAGCTTTTTCATAGTATTTAGAATAAAAAAGTTGCTTTGGTTCAGAGTTAAATTTTATCGATGACAAAACCTATATATTTGAACTACTATTATGTTCTTTCAATTACGTGTTTTACTCTAGAATAATAAAAAAATATATAGAAATATGCCTGTTTTCTAAAATATTAAACAAGAATCTTAAAAATGTCCTCCTGATGTTACTCGATGGAAAAAAGCTCTTTTTTTGTCAATATATCACTTTTCGAACATTCTGCTCGCATGAAGTTGAGTCATACTTTTACATTGATTGGTACGTTTAATACAGCAATCAATATAGAGATGAGAACGAGTACTAAATATGACTAAACTACAGTAACACCTATTTTCTATATTATTTTCTTAATAAACAATAATACAGACACTGATGAATTACAATTTTGTTGATTCGATAGAGGTAGACACAATCTATATATATATAATTGTGTGTTCACATCCAAGCTAAGATTACATCCAATCTCAGATTGGCCTAGAGGAGTTTAAGATCCGAGGTTGGATACTTTGAATATAGAAGAATGTGAGTAAGTGGTTAAAATCATTATACACACGCACACACAGTCACATCTACATTCACAGTATTGAAAGAGCGTTTTCTATTCATTGCAATTCTCAAAGTCTTTTCCAGTGTTAATTATAAGTCACCTGGAAATATGGATACACATCTGATACTGAAAAAGGAACTCATGATTTATTTGCCTGTATCTTTGTAGATTGAGAGAAAAGCTTGTCAACTGTCTGAATGGATATTGAATTAAATAATGTCTAAGCATGCGATTTTCAAAAATGAGTCCAATATTTCTTGTCTCTGTTAATTTTATACCAAAAGAATGACATGAATACTGGTGAGATTCATTCTCTAATGTTATTCCTATACCATTAATGATGTTTGTTGCTGATTGTGTTCGCACTATACTAGATGTTTATTAATAAATCATTGTCATTGTACCCGGCAATTTCATATGTGATACTTCTACGGACGTTCCATTTACATCCAATTTAGATGGTTTGAAATCTGATTCTAGTGCAATTATATTCAATTTAAATTTGACATAAATTAAAAGGAAGTCATCACTTCCATGTTGATTCTAAGTCAAAAACTGCTTTTCATTGTCAACATAATATTCAAAAAAGTAATGAAATTGTTTCTCAAAGATAACAGCTCTCCTCAAGAACTGTTTTTAAATTTACATCTTTAATTTTCCAGATTATTCATGACATTGATATTTTCCAATTGTTCATATCACACCTCTACTCACTTATCATTGGTCACAATCGTTCTCACATCGATGGAAGTCGATGTTTCCAAGTTCGAGCACTTGAAATGTGCTCTATAGGAGAAGATGACTTCACTGCTATCCGACCTTAAATAACATCTTATCTTCAACGTCTTGTCATCCAACAGTTTTACTTTTTACACCGCGAAAATTTCTTTGATAAGATCTTCACCGAACCATTATCTCGCCCGACAACATAACAATTAGCATTAGAGAGTTCGATTTTGAATCCAAGTGAAATTATAAATCATTATTGTCTGTGGTATTTCTCGATGATAGTTGTTGCAGTGCTCGTTCAAATAGTGATCAGATTCATATCCACAATCTCAAATACATACCCAAACTCAAACTCGCACACAGTCGCAAAGATACAAACCATACGGCATCCATTACACAGCTTAGTTATATTGTCACCGTCTAACGTTAATTCTTAGAGGCGTTCTCATTTGCATTTATGGTACATGATCTCTTTAAGCGGACCTTCCTTTTCGAGTTGCTGAAGAACAGCTCAACGAAAATTTTGAAAAATTGCAGTATCAATAGATCTTTAGGAGTAGAGTGAAACTTGTGATAAACTCAACATTCTTGGATGCTTTCTTCTATGAAACATGAGGTCGCAAGAGCTAAAGGTGAACCAATTTCCCTCTCGACAAAAATCAAATTACACTTTCATTACTGAAATATGTCACTCGATAACTTAGATCTAATCAGGATGCATGTTTTTTATTCAAAAAATATTGTACCATTTGTTGCTTAGGAAAATCAAAATATTGGAAGCTCTATATAAACATGTTTTTTTTCTGGGTCGAAATTTTAAGGATTAATCTAAAATTCACAGATGCAATATTTTTTTCAGATAAAAATGTGCACTCTAGTTTGTGCACAATTGAGATAGAAAAATTTTCAGCTTAATCAATCGCAATTTCTGAGAGAATATAGGAGAAAACTTCGATTTTCTATCTTCAAAAGTTGGCTTTGAGAAAAATGCGAAACAATGTTGATGTTAGAACTATTGTTCAAGAACGGCGTTCTCGGAAGTTGATTGTTTTCAATGTCTATAAAACTTAAGAAGGTTTTGTTTTTGTTTACGACATTTAATAGAGGACACTTCAAAGCACCTTTAAGAATGGAAAACCTGAAATAGAGAAAAAAAGTTATTTTTTGGTCCCCAAGCGAAGGAAATGATAAATGCATCTTCAATAAGATAAGTACACCTACCAGAAACACGCTTATACATGGCTTCATCAATACAGTGTCAAACCTTTCATCTTGGCTAAAAGAACGTTTCGTTGATGTTAATAGCGAAGTTTTCATACAGTTGCTAAGGCTAATTTCGACTTTTTATAATTGTACATGATTGGCACTGTTCTATTGAACAGCTGTGATATGCTATTGCGCCAGTTATTTTCTACTCATACAACGTTTTATACGGTTTAAAATGATTTACCAACTACGAACAACTTTGTTTACTTTCGTACATTGCATCGATAGAAAATAGTGGAAAAATAATAACACTCACACATGATCATAGACAATGCCGATACACGGACAACAGTAAATGATTAACCTCAAACGAAATTCTGAGAAACTGCAAACTAACCGTGCGATCGGTACATGATAGTAACTAGGAAAGTGGCCAGTGCTTTGATTCGTTCGTATATTTTGCCTTCAACATTGATCAAGACAGCAATTGTGCACTTGTCCAGCAAAGCATATTTCGGTTAATGATGGAATATTCGCAAAACTTAGCTGTTGTTTTTCATTACCAGACAAGATACTCTTCAATTTCCTTCCAGTGATCAAGCCATGCGCCCGCTGAACAAGCAAAGACGAAATACTGAAGATACTTCTTTGTTATTTACAATACATTGGAAAATTACAGCATCGAAGACATCTTGTCTTCGTATTACCTAGGAACCTATGAGAATAACTCAAGAGAATTTTATTTAGTTTATTTAGCATGAAGGAAAATTTTCTCGATTAAGCTTGTTTTCGGGGAAATAAAACTTCTGTATGACGGTATTCCATCACTCACACATATATTAAATCGAAGAAAGCCACTTCGTCTCGTACTTCCTCCAATGTCCTTAACAAATTCAAATGGATTCCCTTCAAGGAATGAAAATATGGGTATTTTTCTATAAGCCGGTAAAGATTCAGACAAGAATAATCCGTTCTTAGTCAATGTAAAGATTTATTTGCATCTATAATTGATTTCATTTGCTTGGTATAAGACAGCTCAGTTCACCTGATTAGATACTCTGTTGATTTTCGATCTATGAAATGAGTATTCAGTCGACTAAACACCTCTTATATATGTTGATTTGGCCATTTCATATCAACATTTGAAGGTAGGCATAGCACTTTATATTTACTTCCCTAGCAAATAGTTAAATACTGTCTATACTATGTCCAAGTAAATGATTAAACATAGTAGAGTAACTGTGACAGTCCTATTTAAAAGTTACGAATACATGAATGTAGCATCATTGAATCCAGTATCGTGAGATTCAAGAATAGGTGAAATTAAGTTGTCGTGACGGTAATTGCGATTCGAAATCTTGAAAATTAAACAATCTATTTTGATTTGTAGCAAACAGTCGTCATTTTGAAGTGATTTCTTT